CCAACCAGGCGCGTCCGGGACAAAGCCAAGGAAAACACAGGGGACAGCTCGACGGGAGAGCTTGTCCGCGGACGTGTCGCGAACAAAAGCTCGGGATCCCCAGACCCGAAAACGCGACGCATCGCCAGCCTCTCCCGTCCAACGCAGTGTCGGAGAAGTCTCCGGTAAGGAGACACGGGGCCAGAGGTTGAGCTGATTAGCAGCGTATCGGACTGCAAACGGCCACAGAAAGTGGGGGGCAGCCGCATGAACCAAGGAGGTACGAGCGACCTCCATGACCAAGCCAATGCGGCGCTCAGCAACCCCATTCTGCTGTGGAGAGGCCGGAAGCGTGAACGACTGCTCAATGCCCTCCTGCTGACAGAAGGCCTCCAAGAGGCCAGAGGAAAACTCCCCACCTCTGTCAGAGTGCAGACGCAGGACAGGGAAGTTGGAGCGGAAACGCTCACTGAGCTGGAGACGAGATCTGCGGATCCAAGGGATCAAGACATCAGGGACGTCACCCTTGGCGCGCAAGGGGAAGACCGTGGTGTAGCGCGAGAAGTCATCAACAACAATCAGGAAGTACCTCTCCTGACCCTGACCACGGACGCGGGCTGGGCCCCACACGTCCATGTGGAGCGTCTGCAAAGGAGCAGTCATCGGGGGGAAGGAGGAGGAGTGAGGAGCGGCGCGCTGCCGCCCCTCGACACAGGGAAGACAGGGAGGAGCAGGCGAGGGTGGCAGGGGAGGGAGAACCCTGGGAAGACCAGCAACAAGGTCCCGTTTGTGCATGGCCCGAAGGCGCTGCACAGACGGGTGACCAAGGCGGTGGTGCCAGAGGACAGTCTCATGCGCCAGAGAGCGACACGAGCAGGGGGCGGACAGCTGACCTGACGCAGACGCAGACGCGGACGCAGCTACCTGAGGGGACTCAGTGGTCAGTGTGTACAGGTCCGACCCCAGCTGCCGAGTGAAGGTAGCCAGGTGACGGCCCGTCCGAGCACACGTGCAGTGGGTCACGCGCTCGTAAGCAGGGGTGAACTGGTGGACACCCCCGTCCTGGAGCGCACTACCTGCCACCAAGTTCGTAGAGAACGAGGGGAGGTAGAGACCTGACAGCGTGCCTGACGGGACCGCAGGACAAGGAAGGACAGTGGAGGAGGTCGCAACGACCGGACCCCCAGAGGGGTCAGCGAGGGAGACAGCAACTGGCCGAGCGAGTGGCTCAAGGACAGTGCGGTCACGAAAGAAACAGCGAGAAGCACCTGAGTCCAGTGTGAAGGTGTGCAGTGCTGCAGTCGACTCAGTACCAGCGGGCACGGACGCACTAGCACCTAGAGCAGCAGCCTCACCAGGACCTGGGGCAGCAGACGCACTAGCACCTAGAGCGGCAGCCGGACTAGTCTGAATGCCCGGGTCGGGCGGAACACGCAAGTACTGAGCACCCTCTCCACTAGTAAACATCGCATACATGGCAGTGAGAATAGCATCAAAGTCTAAAGCCCAGATATCAACACCCTTCTTTTCCAGATCAGCCCAGTGAGGCAGGTCAGTGGCATCAGGAAACTGGGCACGCCACGCGTCAGTAAGGCGTGCGAAACAGCGCTGTGTGGGATGCGGCCTCCCACACTGCTGGCCAGTGCGGTCACCAGTGCGAATGACGTAAGTGCACGTAAAGCCACGCTGCGCATACCACTCACGAGCGGCCTGAAGCGACGGGGCGGGCTGCTGACTCTGGCCACCGCCAGCGCCTCCACGACCACCACTGCCGCCGCCACCGCCTCGGCCACCTCCACCCCTGCCGCTGCCACGACCACCTCCGCCTCCACTGCCGCCTCCACCCCTGCCGCCACTCCCGCCGCTGCTGTCACCACCCCCACTGCCGCCAGTAGGCTCCCCAGCCGCTCCTCCACTCCCACCGCCTCCACCCCCACCTCCTCCGCCGCCACCTCCAACCTTGCCCCCTTTGCCCCTGCGGCGCCCGCTCGGAGCAGACGCGGCCCCGACCTTCTCAGCACCAAGGAGGTCGACAGTAGCAGCAGAGGCGACAGAGGGGAGGAGAGGGGAAGGGGAACACCCCTCAAAGAACGGGGTGCGGGGGTCGCCACGAGAGGTGCCTACAGCGACGATGCTCGTCTCAGCTGCAAGCAGTTCCTTCTCGAGGAGGGCAATGGTGAGCTCAGTGGGAGAGCGAGCGAGGAAGTGATCCCTGACTGCGCGCAGAGAGTCAGGGAGGCGGGTGACAATGTGGTAGAGCGTGATCCAGAGCGGGGGGGGGTTGCTGGCAAGGAACTCGTCAGGCATAGCAGCGCGAAAGCGGGCCTCACTGGTCCTGAGGTGGGTGATGAGGTCAGCGACTGTGCTGAAGGAGGCCAGGTCGGGGAACAGGTAGGGGAGGGTGAGGCGGCCTAGTGCGGCAGAGGCAGGTGAGGAGTAACGAGCAACTACAGCAGTGTACAGGTCCTTAGCAGTCTTGTGCTGGCCAAAGTGCTCGCGCTCATCTAGTGGCAGGGAGTTGCGAATAGCGAAGCGAGCGTGGGCGTCACGAGTCTGCCACTGTGAGCGCTGAGTGCTGTCTGCAGTGGTAGGAGGGGCAGTAGCGTGACCGAGGGCATGATCGTACAGCGAAATATCCTCCTTGGCAGTGAGCTGGAGGAAGAGGTGCAGGTCATCTAGCCAGGTGTCAAACTTCACTGGGCGGCCCTCGGCATCGAAAGCAAGTACGGGAGGACTAGCCATAGTGGCAGCAGTAGTAGTAGTAGCCGCAGTAGCAGTAGCAGCAGGAGCAGTAGTATCGACGGGGCTGCTCAGTACGGGCGGCGCGGCTCGGTCGGGTAGGGCGGCGCGGCTCGGGTCGGGCTGCGCGGCTGCGCAGAGCCTCTAAGCGGGGCGGTACGGGGCCGCGGGGGGCCTCTAAGCGGGGCTCGACGGGGCCGCGGGGCCGCTAAGCGGGGCGCAACGGGGTCGCGGGGCCGTGAGGTGGGGCGCGACGGGGCCGCGGGGCCTCTAAGCGGGACGCGACGGGGCCGCGGGGCCTCTAGGCGGGACGCGACGGGGCCGCGGGGCCTCTAGGCGGGGCTCGACGGGGCCGCGGGGCCGCTAAACGGGGTGCGCGCGGGGTCGACGGGGCCGTAAGCGGGGCGCGTGCGGGACCGACGGGGCCGTAAACGGGGCGCGCGCGGGTCGACGGGGCCAGCGGGGCCTCTAAGGGGGGACGCGCGCGGGTCGACGGGGCCAAACGGGGCCTCTAAGCGGGGCGCGCGCGGGTTCGACGGGGCCACTAAGGGGCGGCGCGCGAATCGCTAAGGGGCGGCGCGCGGGGTCGACGGGGCCTTAGGGGGGGCCGTAAACGAGGGCGCACGAGGGCGCTGAGGGGGAGGCGCTAACGCAGCACTCCGACAGTAGATAGGTAGGTAGGTATTCAGTGGTGGGCCCTAAGAACGGTCCTAGCGAAGGACCTGCTCTGAAACCATGTCAGAAAGAAGAGACTGGAATGATTGAACTATGAGTGAAAGCAGTACAAGTACCAAACCCTAGAATTGTGTACCCCCCATAGGCTAACCCACTGTAGCCTAAACAAACACAACATATATAATGTTTGACACTAGTCTCCTCTATTCTACTGCCCAAAGTAAGCGATCTCTATTTCGAGAAATATTTCCGCGAAGACGGATGTGTTGTGTAGCGCTGGTCTGATCTCTGAAAGCTCCTTGTGTTGTCTCTTGCAGGAAGATTGCAAAGGAGAGGCTGACCGCGGAGCAGCTGTCGAAAGTCGAAATCATCCCCATGAGTGCAGTCAACGCGGCCCGGACGAAACAACCGTACGAACCCATGGGTCCTGGCAGACTCGATGGTGTGCTTGGCAAGCAACTCGTAGTCTTTCCGCTGTGGTCAAGGTGAGTTCGAATTGTAGAGGTTCCGGTATCAATCTTTATTTCTCTGAAAATACAACGGCTGTTCGATTTTCCGAGCTTTTACGCGCTTGCTAACCTTTCCCCCCACCGCCCCATGCAGCATGACTGCCGAGCCTGGAGCGCGCTGTAGCCTTTTCATGCTTGTTCGGCCCGACAGTTTGGCCGACCACCCGAATATTCCGGTTGCGACACGTCTTCTGCATTTCGACCCCAAGTCGAATTCTCCAGCACACAAGCACACCGACCTCGCCCTTCAAATGGTCAAGTAAGGTTTAACTATTGTCGCTCGTCACATGTGCAAATGACGGTACGGCAGAGCATAGCCTAATTTTGTTGGAAATTCACATGCCGAGCAGATGGCTGGAGGTGCAGCTCTTGACGTAATATTCTAGAGGAGAAGCACTCACTCCAAACTCGGAGGAGCAGGAAACTTTCCGTGACATCAGGAGACGGATTATGAGCGGGTGGAGGCTCGACATAGCGGGAGTAAGTTTACAATGCAAACTCGGAATTCAGCTCGGACCTCTAAGCAGGACAAGCCCTGACCAGCTCCCTTTCATTTTCATGCAGAAGCTAACTCCAATGGTCAGCTCGAGGGAGGTCGGGAGCGGTTCTCATGTAGCGTACCAGTGGCGTAAGGTGCTCGATCATTTTGACTCGATTCTCTTACAGCATGATCGAGATGATAAATTTAGGGTTCTTGGAAAACCACCCTACCGGCGAGAGGATATATTCAAGGACATAGTGACCAGCTGCAAAAAGTATTTCGACAAGCTGGCGGCAGGTGATGAGGAGGATGCGGGAGAGGTGGACCTGGAACTCGTTGGGGACGCTGCTGAGGACACGGGTGCCCCGCCCGTTATTGACGCCGAAATAGTCGCGTTGGGGGCAATGGTTGCTGACGGCGCACGAATGGGTCTGGCCAACGAGCGTCAGAGCGTAACGGATGGGGAGGGTCAGATGATGGACAGAGAGGAACCACCTTTTCAGAGGAGTGCGCGCGAGATCTTGCGTGGAATGAGGGAGGCGCAGCAGAGGGCACCAGAGGATAAGACCGAGCGTTGCGGATCGGAGACCCAACAATAGAGGGGGGAGGGGGAGAGGATGGAGGAGTTAGCAATTGGTTTAGAGGCAGTGCACCTCTCGGTCGAGAATGATGAACAGGAGGAGCAGGGGCAGGGTATGGACATGAGGCAGGGCAGTCCGAATGTCGTAGGCGAATCGGAGGATGAGGTCCTGAGAGCGGAACACGATAATAGGGTGGTGTATCAGAGGCGGGAGACAAGAACAAAGAAGAAGTATGATCAGGAGCGGGAAGCACGCGAGGAGGAAGAGGCGAAGCGGAGGGTGGAACAGAAGCGTGTGAGGCTCGAGGACCAGGAGCGAGAGGTGAGTGCGATGGAGGGGGACAGGGAGAGTGAGGAACGCGAACGCAAGAGGGAGGAAGAGCGGAAGAGGGAGGAGGCGAGGAAGGTGTGGTGCGAAAAGGAAGAGAAGCGGCAGAGGGAGGAGGAAGAGCGGAAGAGGGAGGAGGAAAGGCAGGCTGAGCGCGAAAAGGAGGAGAAGCGGCAGAAGGATGAAGAGCGGAAGAGGGAGGAGGAAAGGCAGGCAGAGCGCGAACAAGAGGAGAAGCGGCAGAGGGAGGAGGAAGAGCGCAAAAAGGAGGAAAGGCAGGCTGAGCGCGAACAGGAGGAGAGGCGGCAGAGGGAGGAGGAAGAGCAGAAGAGGGAGGAGGAGAAAAAGGCTGAGCGCGAAAAGAAGTCGAAGCGGTAGAAGGATGAGGAGGAGCGGAAGAGGGAGGAGGCGAGGAAGGTAGAACGCGAAAAGGAGCAGAAGCGGCAGGAGGAGGAGGAGGAGGTGAAGAGGGAGGAGGCGCGGAAGGCCGAACGCGAAAAGGAACATAACCGGCAGAAGGAGGAGGAGGAGGAGAGGAAGAGGGAGGAGGCGAGGAAGGCGGAACGCGAAAAGGAGGAGAAGCGGCAGAAGGAGGAGGAGGAGCGGAAGAGGGAGGAGGCGAGGAAGGCGGAACGCGAAAAGGAGGAGAAGCGGCAGAAGGAGGAGGAACGGAAGAGGGAGGAGGCAAGAAAGGCAGAACGCGAAAAGGAAGATAAGCGGCAGAAGGAGGAGGAGGAGCGGAAGAGGGAGGAGGCAAGATAGGTAGAACGCGAAAAGGAGGAGCAGCGGCAGAAGGATGAGGAGGAGCGGAAGAGGGAGGAGGCGAGGAGGGTAGAACGCGAAAAGGAGCAGAAGCGGCAGGAGGATGAGGAGGAGCGGAAGAGAGAGGAGGCGAGAAAGGCGGAACGCGAAAAGGAGCAGAAGAGGCAGGAGGAGGAGGAGGAGGAGCAGAAGAGGGAGGAGGCTAGGAAGGCGGAACGCGAAAAGGAGGAGAAGCGGCAGAAGGAGGAGGAGGAGCGGAAGAGGGAGGAGGCGAGGAGGGCAAAACGCGAAAAGGAGCAGAAGCGGCAGGAGGATGAGGAGGAGCGGAAGAGAGAGGAGGCGAGGAAGGCGGAACGAGAAAAGGAGCAGAAGAGGCAGGAGGAGGAGGAGGAGCAGAAGAGGGAGGAGGTTAGGAAGGCGGAACGCGAAAAGGAGGAGAAGCGGCAGAAGGAGGAGGAGGAGCGGAAGAGGGAGGAGGCGAGGAAGGCGGAACGCGAAAAGGAGGAGAAGCGGCAGAAGGAGGAGGAGGAGCGGAAGAGGGAGGAGGCGAGGAAGGCGGAACGCGAAAAGGAGCAGAAGAGGCAGGAGGAGGAGGAGGAGCAGAAGAGGGAGGAGGCTAGGAAGGCGGAACGCGAAAAAGAGGAGAAGCGGCAGAAGGATAAGGAGCGGAAGAGGGAGGAGGCGAGGAGGGCAGAACGTGAAAAGGAGCAGAAGCGGCAGGAGGATTTGGAGGAGCGGAAGAGAGAGGAGGCGAGGAAGGCGGAACGCGAAAAGGAGCAGAAGAGGGAGGAGGAGGAGGAGGAGCAGAAGAGGGAGGAGGCTAGGAAGGCGGAACGCGAAAAAGAGGAGAAGCGGCAGAAGGATGAGGAGGAGCGGAAGACGGAGGAGGCGAGGAAGGCTGAACGCGAAAAGGAGCAGAAGCGGCAGGAGGATAAGGAGGAGCGGAAGAGGGAGGAGGCGAGGAAGGCGGAACGCGAAAAGGAGCAGAAGAGGCAGGAGGAGGAGGAGCGGAAGAGGGAGGAGGCGAGGAAGGCGGAACGCGAAAAGGAGGAGAAGCGGCAGAAGGAGGAGGAGGAGCGGAAGAGGGAGGAGGCGAGGAAGGCGGAACGCGAAAAGGAGGAGAAGCGGAAGAGGGATGAGGAGGAGCGGAAGAGGGAGGAGGCGAGGAAGGCGGAACGCGAAAAGGCGGGGAAGAGTGTGGAGGCCAAGGAGCGAGAAACGCGCGAGGAGGCGAGGGTGGAGGAGCGAGAGCGACAGAGGCAGGTCGGTGAGACCGGGGAACGAGAATCGCGTGAAAGGGAGGAAGCGCGGCAGAGGCAGGATCGGGAACGAAAGAGAACTGAAAGCGAATGCAGAAGAAAAGAGCTTCAGAGGCTCGAGCGCGAAAGGTTTGTGGCGAGGCAGACGGAGCAAGCGGGTGTGCATCAGGGTGTGGAGCGTCCGAGGGATCGACCTGTAGAGAACGAGCGCCGTGGGATGGGGGGCGCTACATGTCAACCTAATCCCACATACTCTTCTCATTCTAACACTACACAGAGGCAGGAAAGGCAGAGGGAGGTTGCTGGGTTGAATGAGCAAGGTGCTGGGGGGCAGCGGCGTGTGGCTGAGGGCCAGAGGGGCGCGAGGTTCTTCCCAATGCAGTTGGGGCGGGATATAGGGGATGGAGCTCGGCAAGTGGTGGTTGGCGACCAGCCAACCCTGGGGCATCACGGAACAACTGTTGGTCGGGCAGCGGATGTTGGTTTACCGGGATTGAGAACAGGCGGACCGAGGCCGATGATGCAGCGGGAAGGTGGCCGGCGTGATGATCAAACAGCCCGGAACAGGGTCGGCGCGGGAGACCATAGGAGGTTCGATCAGTCAAGGCAAGCTGGTAGGCGAGAGGGTGAAGCGATTGGAATGCGGCAGGGTGAGCGAATGGCGGAGGATCAGGTCTGGCGTGGGGTGGGATGGGGAATGGAAGGAGTGCGACACAGGGAGTTTCAGCAGAGAGAGGCGGGAGGACGTGCGGACGAGGAACTAGAGAGTGCGGCTAGTGCGCTCCCCATGCAGAGGCGGCATCCACGAGCGGCAGAGAATCCTGCTGCGGTGCAGGGAGAGGAACTAGAGGATGGTGAATGGGTGGCTGTGGAGGCGCTACTGGCGGGACTGGAGCAAGCGGGGCCGCAGGTTTTCGAGGAGACGGAGCGAGGATTTGAGGAGGCTAGCGACCGCATCGCAGCTGGCGGCAGGATGCATACCACAGCAGAGTTGATGCGGCGTCTGACCTTGGTGGCAAGGTCCGTGGCGAGGGCTTCGTCGGAGCAACGTGTTCGTTTCATCGACTGCATGGCAGAGATTCGAGAGTTTGGTACGCAGATGCAAGCCTTGGACAGCCGCTACTTCCAGGACTACGATGATCTAACACACGAGTACCACGAGCTCAAGGCCGGGGTGGTCCGGGAACGCGACGAGCTAACCCAATTGCGTACTGCTCTTTCGGCTTCTGTCACCGAAGCACGAGCGGCAGCAGCTGATGCGGGTCGCGCAGCTGCAGCAGCGGCTGTGGAAGCATTGGAGGAAAGGTTACAGGGGTTTTTCGAGAACTTACGGGAGAAGCTGAAGAGTGTGGTGGAGCAGGTGATAGAGCAATCGTCGCTAGAGGCCTCGTTCACATCCACCTCCATGGAACACCTGCAAGCGGCTATTGACAATAGTGTACTCGCAGTGTGGGAGGATCTCAGGGCTGCCGACGACCAAAACAATCTGACTTTCAACAAGATTCAGAAGGCTCTGGCAGGACTGTCAACAAAGCTCAAAGGGCTGACTGGACCCGGCAAGGTCCGAAAGCCACCCACCGCCAGAGGAGAGGCCACACCAAAGGCTTCGCGAAAGCAGCCCGAAGCAGTTTCCCCAGACATCCCAATCTCCTCAGCACAACGAGTCATTGAAAGGTTTGCCGCAACGTCCGAGGGTGAGGAGGGTGACGCGGGTGAGGCGGGTGATACGGGCGCTGGTGTGGCAGATATTGACTTGTCTGAACCAGTGAGGAGAAACTGGAGAGAGACGTACGCAGCAAAGAACATGCAGAAAGAGAGGGAGAAGGGGAGCGAAGATAGGAGGACGGCTGAAGCGCGGAAGCGGCAAGCACTTCAGACGGCGCAAGTGACGGCTGCAAAGAAGAGGCGGGCTGAGAAGGGGTTGGGAAATACGAGGGTGGAGGACCGTCCTGCGACTGTCAGCAGGGGGAGAGTGACGGAAAACCAACCGGCGGGTACAGCTGCAGAGGCAAGGAAGGCAGAACGCGAAAAGGAGCAGAAGCGGCAGGAGGACGAGCGGAAGAGGGAGGAGGCAAGGAAGGTAGAACGCGAAAACGAGGAGAAGCGGCAAAAGGAGGAGGAGGAGCGGAAGAGGGAGGAGGCAAGGAAAGCGGAACGCGAAAAGGAGTTGAAGCGGCAGAAGGATGAGGAGGCTCGGAAGAGGGAGGAGGCAAGGAAGGTAGAACACGAAAAGGAGCAGAAGCGATAGGAGGAGGAGCGAAGGAGGGAGGAGGCGAGGAAGGCAGAACGCGAAAAGGAGGAGAAGCGGCAGAAGGAGGAGGAGGAGCGGAAGAGGGAGGAGACGAGAAACGCGGAACGCAAAAAGGAGGAGAAGCGGCAGAAGGAGGAGGAGCGGAAGAGGGAGGAGGCGAGGAAGGCGGAACGCGAAAAGGAGGAGAAGCGGCAGAAGGAGGAGGAGGAGCGGAAGAGGGAGGAGGCGAGGAAGGCGGAACGCGAAAAGGAGGAGAAGCGGCAGAAGGAGGAGGAGGAGCGGAAGAGGGAGGAGGCGAGGAAGGCGGAACGCGAAAAGGAGGAGAAGCGGCAGAAGGAGGAGGAGGCGCAGGCGATGGAAAGGAGGCGGGCACAGAGGGAGGCGGAGTTAGAAGCTAAGCGTCAGCAGATTGCTAAGATTGCGGAAACAAAGCGGTTGGAGGCAGCAAAGCGAAAAAGAGACCTCGAAATAGAGCGTCGGAAAGCCCTTGAGGAGATCGAGCGTATTGCACGGTTAGAGGAAGCCGCAAAGGAGGAAGAGGAGAGGCAACAAATGGAGTTAGAGGCGGAAACAGAGAAAATGGAAAACGAGAGGCGACGGATTGCGGGGGAGGATGAGGAAGGGGCAGCGGGGCAACGGCAGGGAGGAGAGGCGGAAGAAGGGTGGGCCGGGATTCTTCAAGTGATTTCATTGGTTCCCGATGAACCGCTGCAACTAGTTGACCTCGTGGGGGAGGTGGAGGGTTCGGAACATGTGACAGGCTCTGGAGGTCTAGAGACTCAACCGCCTTTGAAGAGGCTTCGCATTGACCTGACCGGAACGAACTTCGACGCGGATGAGGGGTCTTTGGGGGCTGCTGCGTCAGAGGAATGTGTCGGTGAAAATGTGTCGGGAAATCAGAACGTTCAACCAACGTTGGGGGAGGCGACGGGAGAGGTGGCACCGCGAAGAGCGGATGTGCTACCAGACGAGCTAGGGAAGCGGTGGGGGGAAACAAAGCATTTCAGATCGAGTGGTCTTACCACACGCGAGAAGAAGAACAAAAAGGTGGAAGTGGTGTATGTGCGCTACAACTCGGAGCAAACCGTCGGAGGTGTGAAGAGGAACATGGGGAGCTACAAGGAGCGGAAACTACGCGATTTCACAGTGGCCGTCTGTTGGATGGCCTACTTCCCCGACACCGACATGGCCCATTACGGCTTGGATCCTGCCGAGCTTGGCTTGTGGGCGGTCCACCTCGATTTCGCTCGTGAACTCCCGACGGGTGTCTGGAGTGTCATGAACGAATTGAACCTCGACAAGTTCGAGAAGTAAGTACTCGATTCGGATTAGCTAGATCTAGTACACTTTCCCGTTTTGCCTTACTAACCGTGTACCCACCTCGCCTGTGCAGCTTCGAAAACGTCATGAACAAGACAAATGCACGGGTGAAGGACGGCGCACATTTCCATGCACAGGGATTGGACAGGCACTGGTACACGGAGGGAGTGGGCTGGTGTCGCCCCCCGCGAATGTCACTCCCGCGGTCTATGCAGCGGGAGTAGCTGCAACCCTCTACACCTTGTGGTGTGCCTCGATCGGCATTCCCCACCAGGACTGGGCGGAGGGTGCGGATGAGGCGGCTCGTGGCACGCTCAACGAGGCAAGCCTTGCTAGTCGAGCAACCTCTACTGCTCGCCTCGGAGTGTGGACCTTGAAGGCCGTGAAGAACCTAACGCACGAGAAGGCGGATTGGGAAGTGGTGCTCACCAAGGCCATTCTCGGCCTTGTGGATCCCGAGCCCGGGGAGGCAGAGGCTATTGAAATGGCCAAGGTGGTTTCGAGGGTGCTGGTGTACTGGTGCGAGTGCTGTCACGCAAACCAGAGTCTTTACGCGTATCAGGGTGGGATGCTCCATTTTCCCCAGCCCACAAAAGGGGGACGGCGGAAGGGGAATGCGGGAGGCAACGAGTGATGCAGGATGGGGAGGGTAATTTCGAGTTTGCAGCAGCTCTGTACTATAGTCTGCTGAATGTTGTAGTTTTTGAGTTTTCATTGATTTGAACTTAAATCTGTTACATGCATTGTTTGACTCGAAAGCATGGCGTGAATAAGGACTTGAATGCTGTAGGGTTAGATCTCTGAACCACGGTGTTTCCTTAATTGCTTTTGAGGCTTTGTTTTCAAGTAACTAGCGTACTTAGGATTTCGATCGTGAACTTAACGCGTGACGAGAGTGCAACCCTCTTGCTTCGGATTAGTCTGTGGCATGCTTTGATATTCGACACATTCCCATGTTTTCGAGACATTCCCATGCTTAACATTGACGTTCCAATGACTAGTGTTACTCTAAAGGAGGATTTATCAATGACTTGATCTAGAACAGAAGAGAGGGAGTGATTTATTTTTGCATGCCATCATAGTTTGTTGCTAACCCTGATTTTCGAGAGATTCCTACGTTCCATTGACTATTGTGGCAGGTAACCATGTACTCCAAAGGGAGCCTGCTCATTCGAGTTTTGTTCGCGTATTTTTTCTATGCCGTCACAGCACTGTTAACGACACCTGTTTTCGAGCACAATCCTCTTGGTACGATAGGCGAAGGTTACGATGTACGGTGGGTGTAAATTTTGTAGTAGAACTACATACGATCCAACAATGATGTAACTCTAAAAGAGGTTTTAGATCAGAGGAAACTAAAAATAAGAAAAAGAGGGGTCAAAGTCAAGAGCAGAGCAGAAATGAGGTCCAAGATGAGGGAAGCGATCACGGAAGGAAGTCTCGGTAGCGTAAACTACTTCTTCAGTTTAGCCAGCTTCTTCGGCTCCTCGATCTTGATCTTCTTCCAAACATCTTTCCCAAACATCTTCTCTCCCCACCCGTCACCCACCATCTGGGCGGCGAAGAGGAGGTACCCGACCTTGCGGCGCTTGTTCTCCGTCGTCTTATCCTTGCCGGGATTATCCCTCTTCGGAGGTGGCTCGTTTCCGAGAATCACCCCATCCGCCAGTGCGCTAATCGAACTCCGACCCACCACGTCCTTCTCGATCTTCGCAGTGGCATCTCGGGTGGCCTCCTCCATTTCGTTAGCCCTGTATTTCTCGACCGCGAGCATCACGTTCCTCATCCGCTTCATTTTTTTGTCGCCAGTATCGTCCTTCACACCCTTCTCAATGTACGAGAAAGTGGGGTAGAAACTTTTTTCTGACGACAGCTGGCGGAGAGTCTTCCCTTCCATCAAAAAGATCACCTTCACCCAGTGCTCCCATGCCTTTGCGACCGACTCCGAGTCCCGCCAGGGTTTAACGACAAGGTCGAAAAATGCCCGCACTGGAGTGCTGGCTTGTGCCTTCCCAGGCTTCGGAGCCTCCCCACCAGCTTCCTCCTTTGCCGACGAGCCCGACCCTCGATCAGCAGCCTGTGCGTTCGCACTGCTCTCTGCACGCGCCTTTAGAGCAGCCAGCTCCTCTTTGAGCTGCTTGTTTTCAGCGGCCGTCTTCTTCTCCCTCTCTTCGGTTTCAGCGAGCCTGTTCTTCAGCACGCCAATCTCGTGATCCTTCTGACCACATTCCGTCCGCCATAGGTTGCTCTCTACGAGGAGCTTCTGGTACTTTCGGGATGAGTTCAGCTTGTAGATCGCATCCTGCGGGAAAACGGACGAGGGTTTTCAGGCATTGTCAATGCTGTCGAAATATAAGGGCCGATCAGAGAACTGATGTACTCACAGCGGCTGCAGAGGTGCCTCTGGCTTCACGAAGTTCAATGCCAGCCTTGTGCATGATTGCCACTTTGATGGCCCATTTCTGGAAGAGATGGTGGCGGCAGAGCGGATTCATGTCCGTGTACGGGTGGCGCGGGCACTGGCATGGCCGTCTTGTACCGTCGAAAAGATGGTCGTGATCGGGGCAGTAGAACCACCACATGGCAAGGTCCTGTGCCACGATGTCTCGCCCAGGGTTTGCAAGAGCCTCCAAAAAACTTCTGCCAGAGTGGTGCGGCTTATCCGGATTCTCGCGGTTGTACTTATCGACCTGAGATGGTAGGACAGAGAAGACATTCAGCTCTGCCTAGCGCAACAACTTTAGACACTGCAAAAGGCTGGGTAATCAAGGGGTACCTTTGCCAAATCAGATTCGAGGCGCGGGAAGATGAACAGCTTGAAGAGGTCTTGCAACTGTTTCCACTCGGTGTCGTTGTCGAGTTTAGCGTGCGCTCTGCCGATGTAGTAATCTCCCGGCTCCCCACTGAATCCGGCCATCATCAAGACCGGCCAAAACAAAACGCCCACGACATAGGATCTTCGCATCTCGCCCTGCCCCCAGCCGCCGAGAGCGTTGATGTCGGGGTCGGGACAGCGATCGTCACTCAGGCCTTGGGCTCCCGATCGGCGAAACGCATGGGTCTTTTTGCTAATCCGCCAGGGCGGTCGCGCTACGTCGTTCATGACCCAATTAATCCAGTTGTTGTGAGTCACGTACGGAAGCTCTTCCTGCAGTTGTTCCCTTCCGTGCCTCAATGGGAAGAAAATGTGCTTCTTAGACCACTGAAGGGGGTCGCTGAAGTCCAGTGGCGGAATGATGTCCGCTCCGAATCGCAGTGGCACGAGGTCGTAGACGAAATGAATCCACAGAAAAAGACCACCAACACCGCAGAGCGCGAAGTTGATGTGCCGGGCCAAGAATTGGTGGGTCAGCCTGTTGGTCGCATTCGTCTTGGACTTTCGAGAGGCGAAAACCACCACAGGGAGATCCTTCTGGCGGTCGGGGGGCTTCATGTATTCCCGCGATTCGCCGATGTACTCATCTGCTTGGGCCTTCGGGTAGTCGTAGAGTCGAGCTTCAAGTCTACCCAGGAAGCCCAAAGCGCTCATCTTTGCCTTCATCATGCTCGGCGTACTAGGGATGGGCTCCTTTCCAGCCACCACTTCTTCGCCTCTCCGCATCATCTCGGCCTGCGCGGGGGTTTCCTCTGCCATGTACCGCAGGAACCTCTGAATCCTCCATCCAGTAACACGGGGCCCGTGGAGATAAACTTCATCCAAATCCACAGTTGACCACTCCGCCTTTTTGTCGTTCCCCAGATGGCTTCCAACCTCGTCAGGATTCAGCGGGTCCAGACGCTCCGCCGCCGGAACCTCAGTCTTGGGCAGCGTTGACATGAACATGATGACCCACCACTTGTAGTGCAGCCAATACAGGATGTAGTCTTTTCTGGTTTTCGCCGCGAGATAATCGTAGGGGACCTTTGCGCGGCGAATCCTGCTGGCCACGTCGGCCTGTTTTCGAACTGACTCGTGCGTAGCTGATGCTGGCCCATCTGCATTTCTCTGAGGCGCGGCCTGCGATGCTTGCCCCTCCGCATTTCCCTGTGGCGCAACCTGTGGTTCTTGTCCCTCAGCATTTCCCGCGGGCGCAGCCGACGATCCGACACCATGTGCACTTCCATGGGGCGATGCCTCTGATTCTGGGCCGTTCGCATTGCCACGGGCCGGTTCCACAAAAAGAATTCGACAGGTGGCATTATCTTCAGAGGTTGGGCTTCGGCTAGCATTTTCCTCCCAATTCTCCTCAAACAACGCTCGGTGGGGGTCCTCGTCATCGTCCGCGAGATTGATGAACACCCCCCTCGGAATTCCGCCCCTCGGAAATCCGCCCTCAGCCACATTTCCCTCGACCCCGACTTCAGGGTTCGAGGCCGGAAATTCCTCCTGAGCATCCAGGAACACATCGCCCCCAACAGCTGCCTCGAATTCCCTGTCCGCATCGCGGTCCCCGGTTAGATCAATCGGGGCATTGGGCAGTTGGCAGTCTGGAAGATCATGATACTCCTCATTGAGGTCGAAATCGAGAGCTGCGCTAAGAAAATTACCCGTACCGCCTTCGCCCGCCATCACGGTGTACCTGTTTCAGAGGATTGTATGCTCCACATGTGCGCGAAACCTGTCCTGAAAGGGTTATTTTCGACAAGCGAAATCTAAAACGCCTCGTCGGGAATGGGATGGACTGCCAGCAAGCCCAGGAGCATGTTGTGCTGAAAAGAGACTCGTGATCGGAGTTGTTACGGGGAGAATATACTATGAATGTGAGCCTTCTGAGTGGAGAACAATGATGATATGAAACGGATGTTCTATTTAGAGTTCTTTAGCATCTCGAAAATGCCCCCATTTTTTAGAGTAGAAAGAATCCTCCGCTGGCTCAACCCTCGGCGTGTGTGCAACTCTGAAAGAAGCAATCAATCATGCCATGCTGGATTGAAGGTATGGAAGCAAGGAGGGTGATGTTTTCCCCTAACATGTGTTAAAGTTTGAAGGAATCAAGAAATGACATACAACAGAGAGCTATTTAAGCATTCTGGGACTCAGCCACATGAACATGAGCACCACAACCTCTGACTGCATCCCTTCTTCCCGCCACAGCTTCTCTAGATCTGGTCGCCAGACCCCAGATCTGGGGTTCTTCCCGCCTCTGTCAGAGCATTCGATTGGCTGGCTCCTCCACAATGGCGTAACTCTGAGCAACACCCCTCCCGCAGAGAACGAGTAACTCTGCCACGTGGAACACGGTCGGCGCGCAATGTAATAGAATGTAAATACACAAGATTTTCAATATAGTTCTTTAAATCGGTTGGTGTCGAGATTTGAGTTTTGTAAAAAAAAAGCTTAAAGTGGCTTGGTTTATTTTACGAATCTGTTAATAATACCATGTCGCGATCGAAAATTCCGGTATAAAGCTGTCTCCTTGTGGTTGCGAAAGTTTATCACGTTTCCGATTGTTTATTTCTTTTGTACTTAAAACCGTTTTTGTAAAAATAAACGACTACTAGCCTATAACGGGGTGTATGAAGAACAGTCGTTTGTCATTATGACACCAAAACATCTGCTGTTCATGTTGATGGGTAGACGTCTCAGAATAACTAGGCAAGAATGAATGAACTAGCAGAAGTTTGGGTACAAATATGAAACCCTAGTTGGGGTTGTACCCCATATTGGCTACCCCACTACAGCCTACCAACATATAACACAATACAATTTAACACACCCCCATAGGCAAAGTGGGGGAGAACAAAGGGTCGCAAGACCAGTCCAGCAAAGCAACGCAAGCCCAGGGTGGATCACAACGTCACCACACTCCGAGCACAAGCAAAGGCCACAAGGCCAGTTCACATGCAGTGCTAGATATAGTACAAGACAAGCAACACAGTGATCAAAACCTAGCAAGCAAGCAACAAGATATATATAAAGTACAGTACAAAGAATGTCAAGCAGTGAGCAAGTGAGGAAACGTGGACACAAGGCCTAAAGAAGTACAGTGCCGCTGATGATCACTAGGCGGGAGCGCCTTGGTGAAGATATCAGCAGTGTTGGCCTTCGAGTCCACGTACACAAGCCGAAGCTGACCGCGCTGCTGAAGCTCTCGAGCAAGAAAGTAGCGAAGAGCAATGTGCTTCGTCCTGTGCTCCAGTCTGTGCTCCTGACACAAGGCAAGAGCCGCCTTGTTGTCACCGTACAGAACTGGAGGAGAACTAGGCCGCTCTCCCAAGTCAGTCAGCAGGTAGGTGAGCCAGCGTAACTCCTGTGCAGCCATGGCTGTGGCGTAGATCTCAGCCTCACAACTAGAGCCGAGAACAGAGGAAGAGCGAGTGGACCGCCACGAGACAGAACCAGAGCCAAGGCTGAAGGTGTAACCCTGTGACGACCGCTGCGTAGCCAGGTCGTCCACCCAAGAAGCGTCCGAGTGACCAGTGAGGACAACTCTGTCGCGTCCTCCAAGCACCAGCCCCATGCCTGATGTACTGCACAAGTAACGCAGCACCCTCTTAGCAGCCTCCCAGTGCTCTCGCCTGTGTCTCCCAGGCGCAACGTAACGAGCAAGGATGCTAAGAGGGTACGCGAGGTCAGGTCGCGTGCAAGTCATCAGGTACATGAGGCAGCCTACAAGCTCTGGGTACGGGCCACTCGGCTCTACGGACTCGTCCGAAGGTGGAGCTGAGAGCGAGTGGCTGGTAGCCAGAGGTGTGGCCTGAGGTGAGGAGAACTGGAAGCCGAAGCGCTGAAGGACCTGCTGCACCATGTGTGACTGAGTCAGGGTGATGGTGCGGCGAGCTCTGTCCCGGGTGATCTGCAAGCCAAGGTAGCTACGCAGTTCACCCAGGTCAGTGCAGGTGTGTCTCTTCTGCAGCTCCGACTTCACACGAGCGAGTGCCTCAGTGTCAGCAGTAGCAAAGACCAAGTCGTCGACGTAAACGAGAATGTAGAACGGCGGCAGCGACGTGTCTGTGCGCAGAAACAGCGACGGGTCAGCAGTAGACGGCGCGAACCCAAGAGCCGCAAGTGTAGTCCTCAGTGTGTCGTGCCACTCACGTGGCGCCTGGCGGAGACCGTAGACTGGCCGGCGGAGGCTCCACTGGGTACCAGGGGGAAACGACCCAGTAAAGCCAGGTGGGCGGCGCAGCCAGATCTCCTCGTGCAGGCTGCCCTGCAGGAACGCTGTGCTGAAGTCAAGAGAGTGAAGCTCGTAGTCACGCTGAGCAGCAACGTGCAGCAGAACCCGAAGAGTGGTCATCTTCGGGGTGGGGGAGAAGGTCTGGAAGAAGTCGACCCCCTGACGCTGACTGAAGCCTCTAGCAACGTAACGAGCCTTGAAGACAGGCGGAGAACCTGGCGGCCGCTTCACCCTGAAAATCCACATGCCATCGACGATGTTCGCCCCAGGAGGGGGAACCTCGTCGACGTAGGTGCCTGTGGACTTCCAGGATGCCATCTCTGCGTCCATGGCTATCTGCCACTGAGAGGAGTAGGGACCCGAGATCGCCTCTGCGTAGGTGCGCGGAGTGGGGATGTCTAGTGCATCCGGGTCTCCCTCAGGGGCAAGCAACCAGGCCACGAGATGAGGTACAGCAGCCGCAAGAGAGTCAAAGTCCTCCTGCCTGTCCTCAAGGACGTCCGTGCCAAGAGCACACTCACCCCCGACGGACGGAGGACAGACAGACGCAGACGCAGACTCAGCAACAAGGCTAGCAGCGTAGTCTAGACGACAGGCAGCAGCAAAGTCAACCAACTCAGCGACGAGAGCAGACGCAGCCGAGGACTCAAAGGTAGGGTCAGTGACAACAGTAGCTAGGAGACGCGTGACAGTAGGGTGCTCAGCGCGATACCGGTCAGACTCAGGGTCCGGAATGGCAGGCAAAGAGGACGCAGGAGGAGACGGTAGAGGGACACGCTGAGGAGCAGTAGAGGGACGCAGAGTCATGTAGTGAGTGCCTGGGACAGGAGGAGGACGCTCACGACGGACACGACTACCAGTGCGAGCAGGACGAACAGGCGACGCAGGACGAGACTCAGGCTCACGACGCTCTGTAAGACCTCCTGTGGGACCAGCGTAAGGAGAGGGAGCAGGGAGAGGCGAGGTAGGCGGTAACTGTGACTGCGGCTGGACAGGCGGAGGACACTCGACGGAGGGAGGAGGACAAGGAGGAGGAGCCTGCCCAAGAACCTGCTGAAGGAGCGGTACGAAGTACGGTCGCGGCCGCGCAGCGTCTCCAGAAGCAGAAGAGACTCCAGCGGCCGGGTCCTCAGTACCAGCAGGAGCTCCAGCGTCCGGGTCCCCAGCACCAGCAGTAGCGCCACCGCTCGGGTCCTCAGCTCCAGCAGCAGCGCCACCAGGTGGGTCCGCAGCACCAGCAGCAGCGCCACCCCCAGGGTCCGCAGCACCGCTAGGAAGAGCACCCCCAGAGTCAGCAGCTCCAACTCCGCTAGCACCACCAGCTCCAGAGGCCCCAGCTCCAGCAGCTCCAGTCGTAGTGCTCCCAGAACAACCAGTCCCGGCAGCTCCAGTACCCCCAGTACGAGCACCTCCAGGACGAGCAGCTCCAGCACCCCCAACTCCAGCCGAGCCACTAGGACGGCGAAAGCGCCGGACGTACCAGTCACGAAGCTGCTGCGGTGTGAGAGACTGCTCAGCACCCCGAACCGGAGCACCCCCAGACGCAGCAACCCGAGGCTCCGTAGGCTCAGTAGCAGCACCCCCAGGCTCAGCACCCCCAGACTCAGCACCCCCAGACTCCGCACACGCAGGCTCAGCACCCCCAGTCGCAGCACCCCCAGGCTCAGCACCCCCAGCTCCAGCACCCGCAGTCCCAGCACTCCCAGGCCCAGCACCCGCAGGCTCAGCACCCCCAGGCTCAGCACTCCCAGCAGTACCACCTGCAGCAGCACCTGAGTCACCTGTGACCTCGACAGGCTCAGCGACGGGAGGAGGGTCTACCTGAGAGACACCTGAAGGAGCAGGACCCTGAGGGGGAAGGGGGTCTACCGGAGGGGGACCAGGAGCAAGGAAAAGCGGCGGGGGAGGGAGGGGGGCAGTGCGGTAGGGGAAGAGACGGTAAAAAGGGACCGACTCGTCAAAGGTGACGTCCTGAGAGGCGAAGACCCGGCGCGAGGTGGGGTGGTAAAACTGCCAGCCCGGCGCGTCAGGGACAAAGCCAAGGAAGACACAGGGAAGCGTGCGGGAGGAGAGCTTGTCCGCGGACGTATCGCGGACAAGGGCACGAGCACCCCACACCCGGAAGCGCGACGCATCGCCAACCTTCCCCGTCCAACGCAGTGTGGGCGAGGTCTCCGGCAAGGAGACACGGGGCCAGAGGTTGAGCTGATGCGCGGCGTACCGGACAGCAAACGGCCACAGAAAATGGGGAGCCGCCGCGTGGACCAAGGAGGTACGAGCGACCTCCATGACCAGGCCAATGCGGCGCTCAGCAACCCCATTCTGCTGTGGGGAGTCCGGAAGCGTGAAGGTCTGCTCGATGCCCTCCGCCTGACAGAAGGTCCTCAAGAGATCGGAGGAAAACTCACCACCTCTGTCAGAGTGCAGACGCAGGACAGGAAGATCCGTCCGGAAACGGCGGCGGAGCTGGAGACGAACTGCGCGGATCCAAGGGATCAGAACAGCAGGGACCTCACCCTTGGTGCGTAAGGGGAAGACCGTGGTGTAACGCGAGTAGTCGTCGACAACCAGCAAAAAGTACCGCTCACCGCCCTGACCACGAACGCGGGCTGGGCCCCACACGTCCAGGTGGAGGGTCTGCAGAGGAGCCTCTGTCGGGGGGAACGAGGAGGAGTGAGGAGCGGCGCGCTGCCGCCCCTCGACGCAAGGAAGGCAAGGCGGCGCAGGCGAGGCAGGGAGGGGAGGGAGGGACCTGGGAAGACCAGACACAAGGTGGCGACGGTGCATGCCACGAAGGCGTGGCAAGGAGGGGTGACCCAGGCGGTGGTGCCAGAGAAGAGTCTGGTGCGACAGGGAACGACACTCACAGGCGTGGGCTACCAGACCTGACGCAGACACCTGACCGACAGCAGCGACCTGAGGAGACGCAGTGGTCAGTGTGTAGAGACTCGACCCCGGCCGACGGGTAAACGTAGCCAGGTGACGGCCGGTCCTGGAGCACGTGCAGATCGCCACACGCTGTCCTCCAGGGGTAAAGGTGTCAACCCACTGATCCTGGATGACAGCGTTGCTCACCAGGTTCGTCGAGAACGAGGGGAGGTGGAAACCCGACAACGAGCCAGACGGAACCGCCGGACAAGGGAGTACAGTGGTGGACTGGGCAAGGACTGGGCCCCCAGAGGGGTCAGCCAAGGAGACTGGGACCGGTGCAGGAAGCGGTGTGAGCTCAGTACTGTCACGAAAGAAACAACGGGAAGCACCTGAGTCAAGAGTGAAGGTGTGACAGGCCTCAGCCGGTGCGGTACCTGAGAGAGCAGTCTCTGTGGGTGCTGTACCTGAGAGAGCAGACTCGCAAGCAGCAGGGACAGTGCTGGAGGGAGCAGGTACAGGGGGCACCATACCAGAGAGAGCAGACTCACTAGGACCTAGGGCAGTGGGCCCTATACCTGGGTCAGGCGGCACACACAAGTAACAGTCTCCCTCGGCACTAACAGTCAATGCATACATGGCAGCAATAATAGCATCATAGTCAAGAGCAAAGATATCAACACCAGCCCTCATCAGCTCAGCCCAGCGAGGGCGCTCAACATCCTCGCCCATCTCCTCACGCCAAGCGTCGTCAAGGCGGAAGAAGCAGCGGTACTGAGTGTGGAACTTTCCACACGTCTGCCCCTTGCGATCACCTGTGCGAATGACATAGGAACAGCGGCCACTGCCCCCCGACGTCCCACGCTGAGCAAGCCACTCACGAAGCTGCTGGGTCGACTGGGGACGCTGCTGCTGCTGGGAGCTCTGGCCCGAGCCGGTGCCTCCACTCCGACCTCCACCGCCGCCACTACCTCCGCTCCGACCGCCACCACCGCCACCGCCACCGCCACTACCGCCACCGCCGCCACTGCCGCCGCTGCCACCACCGCCACTGCTCCCGCCGCCGCCCCCGCCTCCGCCGCCGGCCCCACTCCCACCGGCACTCCCGCCACCGCTCCCTCCAGCACCGCCTCCCCCCCCACCTCCCCCACCCCCTCCCCCCCCAGCGCCACCCCCGCCACCCTTGCCCCCCTTGCCCTTGCCGGTGCGGCGCCTCCCACCAGGAGCAGAAGCAGCGCCAGCAGACTCAGCACCAAGGAAGTCAACAGCAGCAGCAGTAGCATAGGAGGGAGCGAGGGGAGAGGGAGAGCACCCCTCAAAGATGGGGGTGCGAGGAGCGCCGCGAGCAGCACCTACAGCTACAATGCTCTTCTCGGCTGCTAGCAGCTTCTCCTCTAGGAGGGCGACAGTGAGCTCAGTGGGACAGCGAGCAAGGAAATAGTCGCGCACTGAGCTGAGGGTGTCAGGGAGACGGGTGACTATGAAGTGGAGTGCCCAGTACAGGGGAGGGGGGTTCTTAGCGCAGAACTCGGTGGGAAGGGCGGCACGCAGGCGAGCATCACTAGTGCGAAGGTGGGTGATAAGATCGGCGACTGTAGCAAAGGTGGACAGGTCAGGGAACAGGTAAGGCAGCATGAGACGGCTAAGCTCGGCTGTGGCAGGTGAGGAGTAGCGAGCAACGACAGCATCGTACAGGGCCTTAGCGGTTTTGCAGTCGCCAAAGTGCTCTAGCTCAGCGAACGGCAGGTGACTGCGAATAGCCAGGCGAGCTGCAGCGTCACGAGTCTGCCACTGGGAACGTACACTAAGCTCGGCTGTGGCAGCAGGAGCAGCGGCAGCACCAGACGCGTAGTCATAGAGGGAGATGTGGTCCGTGCTATTGCTCATAAGATACAACTGCAGGTCGTCGAGCCAGGAAGTGAACTGCACGGGACGGCCCTCAGCATCGAAGGAAAGAACGCGAATAGAGGCCATAGCTCAGGCGTGAGGGCACAGCAGAGCAGCGGCAGCAGCAGAGGGGACGCGCTAGAGCAAAGCTAGCAGCCACAGCAGGAGCAAGCGGCGGTGCACAGGCAGGGAGCAGCAGGCGAGGCGGGCGGCGCTGCAGGCGGGAAGTGCGGCGGGCGGGCGACGTTGCAAGCGGGCAGCGGGCGGGCGGGCGACGCTGCGAGCGGGCAGCGAGCGAGCGGGCGGGCGACGCAGCGGGCGGGCGGGCGACGCTGCGAGCGGGCAGCAAGCGGGCGGGCGACGCTGCGAAGCGGGCAGCGGGCGGGCGGGCGACGCTGCGAGCGGGCAGCGAGCGAGCGGGCCGCGAAGCGGGCAGCGAGCGGGCGGGCGGGCCGCGAAGCGGGCGGGCCGCGAAGCGGGCAGCGAGCGGGCGGGCGGGCTGCGAAGCGGGCAGCGGGGCGAGCGGGCTGCGAAGCGGGCAGCGGGGCGAGCGGGCGACGCTGCGAGCAGGCAGCGCGGCGGGCGGGCGGCGAGCGGGCGGCTCGGCGGGCGGGCGACGCTGCGAGGGGCGCGCGAGGGCGCTAACGAGGGGCGCTTCGAGGGCGCTAGCGAGGGGCGCGCGAGGGCGCTAACGAGGGGCGCTTCGAGGGCGCTAGCGAGGGCGCGCGAGGGCGCTAACGAGGGGCGCGCGAGGGCGCTAACGAGGGCGCGCGAGGGCGCTAACGAGGGCGCGCGAGGGCGCTAACGAGGACGCACGAGGGCGCTACGAGGCTAGGGCACGGGGTAGCGTGGTAACCGCATGCGAGCGGTGGTGGGCCCTTAAAAAAACGGTCGGTAGGTCCTAGGGACCTCCTGCTCTGAATACCATCTCAGAATAACTAGGCAAGAATGAATGAACTAGCAGAAGTTTGGGTACAAATATGAAACCCTAGTTGGGGTTGTACCCCATATTGGCTACCCCACTACAGCCTACCAACATATAACACAATACAATTTAACAAGACGCAAACTGCAACTGTGTTCGATATATGCAGTGTAGAAAAAGTTTGTCGTTATCGAAAAAAACAACCTGCTCGTCTGTCCCTTAGCGTATGGCCAATGTACATATTGCGCTTCAGAACCCTGAATTAGGCGTACGAACGTGCAAATAACAAGCTCTCGACCATGCGGAAGTTGACGCAATCTAGTAAAACGTGTGCAGTTTACCAAATTTCACTGTAAACAAATGTCTAATACGGAGCTCCATATCGAGTTTCTCGATATTAGGGGTTTTCGAAAACAGGTTGCGACGTGCTCGCAGAGATCACGTTGCAACCGTTTGCGCGAAAAGTGCACGTCAATTGACGGCTGCACTTTGACGTTGGCGAGAGCACGTGCTTCGCCAGCTACATTGCACGCACGAATCTGCTCGGGCAGAGCACAGTTTCACGGGCAGGCCGAGCCTAGCCCGTGGGGCGGTGGGGGTTGTCTTTCTCGGCGCAAGCTTGCGCCACTTCCGCTTGGGTCGATTACCAGCTCGACCCAAGCAGCTGGACCCACGTTTTTTCCCTGGCAAATCCGCACGACCAGCGCCAAGAGCAATATAACTTCCCCTGTGACGCTCTCCGACCCATCCATCCCATTCCGTACAGGGAACTGCCCTCGCTGCGGTTCGGCGAGTGTGGGAAGACATGTGGGCCACTGCCGAATCGCGGGACCACAAGGACTAGCTGGAAAATCGTGTAATACCCTCCCTATAGAGTGCGAATATTTCTCCAACCATGTAGCACATGCATTTGTTAGTTTGCGAATGGCTATGAAAGTGAAACTGACTCACACTCGCATTGTCCTCAAATATCTTCGTGAAGCCAACCTCTCCCCGTTTGCCGATAATCAACCCAGAGGACTCAAAGACAACCTTCTGAAGGACTATCCACGTAAAAGATGACCAGAGAAGCGAATCTACCCCTAGAAACTGTTGTACGGTATGTGTCTTGTGGTGTCCAAGATAAATTGCTACAAGTTGATTTCAGTAAAAATGACACATAATCAAGATTGATTTACAAATGACCCAAACACGCAGCAGGGCAGGTGAAAGCTGCTTATTGGGCAAGCTGCCTCACAATTCCTCAGAGAGGCAACCGCCATGGGTCTCGAAAGCGAGATGCAGCATCCTGTGCGATAATCATCGGGACCTTGGGACCAGCTGTTCCGTCAGCCAGATCCTTGGGAGCTCATGCAATCAATCCAGCGCACCATCTTACAGCAGCCCTGCGATTGTCACCATCCGACGGCTAGCAGGACGTTTTAACTGCTGCCCTCGCCGTTCACGACGACCAGCATGCCTTCCCGGCGAGCAGGAACGCGGTACGCATAGATTTCGTTGTCTGACCCGGGAAGGGAGACGTACGCCGTCGTCGTTGCCGACTCCCGCGCAGAGGCGGTGTTGTCGCCGAGGTCATCAACGATAACGGCAGCAGACGCGGCGGATGCGCCGGCAGAGGCGGTGTTATCTGTGGGATCGTCGAATTTCACCGTCGTCGCAGCAGACGCGGTGTTATCGCTCAGATCAGCATCGATAACGGCAGCAGACGCGGATGCGCCTACAGAGGCGGAGTTATCAGTAGGGTCGTCGAAAGACACCGTCGTCGAAGCAGACGCGGAGTTATCGGCGGGGTCGTCTATGACGGCAGAAGACGTCGATGCGCCGACAGAGGCGGTGTTGTCAGTGGGGTCGTCGATTACTGAGACCAGAGAGCCCTTTCTACGCGGTACGTTCAATGCTTCGATGACGTTGTCGGAACCTGGCAGAGAAACGGACGCCGTCAAGAATCTGACGGAATCGCTGTCCACGCCGGCTGTCATCGTCCTAGGAATTGCTGATGCCACATTGTCGTTATTAGCGGCAGTTGATACGATTTCAGTAGCTGGAATCAAGGGGAAGGAACAGAAAGAATCAAAATCCGGAGGGAATAGGCGGCGTTAATCGTGGGTGAATAGAACGTAGAAGTAATGGAATAAGAAAGGTAGAGTATCGCGCGTCAGTCAACTGTAAGATATCAATAAGAAGAAACGGTACACGAAAATTCCTCACCTCCCGCAACGCTGGCGGTGTTATCGTTGTCAGCAGCGGCCACTTCTGCCTCTGCTAGTTGATTCTTCTCCACACCGTTTCCCGCCTCAATTCCCAAGGCTTGCGCGGCGTACGGATCGGAGGTCAGTAGCGCTGTGAGGAACGGCCGGGCTCCGTGGCAGAGGGTCGTGGTTGCTAGGAGAACTGCGAGCACGAGGATAAGGTTTCTAGCCATGGTGGGGCAATGAAGATAGTCCCTAGTTGGTGCGCTGAGATGGATGCTAACAGGTGCGGTGAAACTCTGACAAACGGTTGAACGGATGCTAACAGGGAAGAGATTGATGAGCTGTGTTTGCGCAACGAGACTTTCGCTGGAAATAATCGGAGGGCTGGGTTGCGCGGGATGGGGAAATGGGTGCAGCCCCACTTGGCAATTTGGAACCTCAGCTGGAGCCTCTGCGAATTCCACACACCAGGCGACATGTATTGGCGATGCAAAGTGGCATGCTGCCGAGTGACCCCCTTGTGGGTCTCGCCAGCCATAGTACGAACAAGGCATGTGGGGAACTGTGGGGATTGCTGGCGCGCCTCGGTGTTTCCAACGCGACCCGCAATTCCCAGCCTTCCCAATTTCCCCCAGGCCAAACCCAGTATTATACGCCTTACAAGAATATCACAACCTTTACCAATTTCAAACACTTGACACAAAACAAGCGTTACGTCGTCTTGAATAACTAAAATGTGTTTCCAACCCTCGTGTAAGTTTGTAAGTTTGGTTGCATGAGCGAAACCAACCCAGCGCAACCGAATCCTATCCCTCTAATTTAGTGGCGTGGCTCGCTCGCTCGGTGTTTTTCCAAAACCAAAGCCAAGTCTTGCTTCTATTGGCGATCCGCTGTATGCTGTCGTTACTAGCCTCATCCAGAGCATTCCGCCAGCCCCTAATGGGCGCGCTACGCGCTTTCGCGACGGGCGGCGGGTGTCGCAACGGCCTCAACCGCGCCGCACCCGTACCATCTCCCGCCTCGCGTTCGTCGCTCCTCCCCGCTCTGCGAACGCTCTCCGCTTCTCCCATCACCCACACTACCACTGCCCCCAGCCGTCCCGCACACGCAGCTTTCACGTCATCCTGGAGCCGCGGACTCGTCTCGCCTGTGTGGCCTTCCCCTTTTTTCCAGGGCGGTCAATCTCGAGGGCTCGCTGGTTCTTTTCCACGCGGCTTGAAGGCCCCGAATGGAAAACGAAAGGTCGCGAGTTCGAAACCTGCAGGTGGCCACCGAAAACGGTTAGATCCGAGGGCAGCGGCGGCTGGAGCTTCGGCGGAAGGTGCGGGAGAGGAAGGCGCGGTGGGAGTTGCGGGGAAGGTGCCAGGAATCTGCCCAGGCTGCGGCGTTACCATGCAGAGCGAGGATCCGAAACTGCCGGGTTTCTTCGTCCTTCCTGCTGCGCTCGATCCCGCTAGATCCGCCGAGGTTTCGGGTTTAGGGGATGACGAGGGGATAGATGAAAAGGAGTTGGAAGAATTAGAGGGTTTAGAGGAAGAAGAGGAGGAGGAAGCTGAGGGCAGGGAAAAAGTAACCATGTGGACGGAGTTTGACCTAAAAAATCGGGACAGCCCGGGGAAACTTGTGGAGGCGAAGCTTCCTCCTCTTGAGGATGCTGATGATGACGTGGGCACGGGATTCGAGGAGTTTGACGTGGACTTTGATCTCGATGCTGACCTGGCTGCGGAAGCTTCCGGGAAAAGCGGCAGGAAAGGCGGCAGTGATGCCCGTGAGTATGGAGAGGAAGAAGAGGAGGAGGAGGAGGAGGAAGAGGAAGAGGAAGAGGAAGAGGAGGAAGAATTTGATGAGGAAGCATGGGCGAAGGCTTGGGAGGATCAGTTGGAAAGGAATGGCGCAGATGAGCTGAAGCGAGATTCTAGAGGAGCGACGAGGGGGCAAGGCGATCGGATGAGGGGGAGGAAGGTGGAGGGGGAGGCGGAGGAGGAGGAGGAGGAGGAGGAGGAGGAGAAAGATGGAAAGTTGGTGGTTTGTGCCAGGTGTCACGCCCTGAGGAACTACGGGCAGGTGAAAGACGAGAGCGTGGAAAATCTTCTGCCCGACTTTGATTTTGAGAGGGCAGTCGGGCAGCGTCTTCGGGCAGCTTACGGCCGTCGGGCAGTTGTGCTAGTAGTTGTCGATGCAGCAGATTTTGACGGGTCCTTCCCGCGCCGGGCAGCCGAACTTTTAGCCCGGGCAGAAGCTGAGGCCGCGGGCAAGTGGAAGGAATCCCAGGCGGACGGCAAAGCAGCGGGGCCTCCTGGCGGCAGCAACACGTTTCGTCTGATCCTCGCGGCAAATAAAGCCGATCTTCTGCCGCCGCAAATCTCGCCGCTCCGACTGGAGCAGTGGATTCGGCGCCGGGCGAAAGCGGGTGGCCTGCCTCGTCTTACATCGCTGCATCTACTATCAGCCAAGACAGGGTTTGGAGTGGGGTATCTGGCGTCTCAACTAGCCACACTGGCAGGACCCAGGGGGGATGTATGGGTGGTTGGGGCACAGAACGCAGGAAAATCTTCTTTGATTAACGCCCTTGCTGCTGCTGTGAAGACAGGGGGAAAGGGGGGAAGAGCGGCGGGAAAGTGGGGATGACCGGGAAGGGAGCAGGAGGGAAGGCCGGGAAGAAAGGAGGGAAAGGCGGAGGAGGGGGAGGAGGAGGGGGAGTGGGAGGAGTGGGGTTGACAGAGGCGTGGGTGCCTGGGACGACTATAGGGGTGGTGCCTATAGAGGGGGTGCTGGGGGGGAGGACGAGAGTGATGGACACGCCAGGGCTGCTGCACCCGCATCAGCTGTCTGTGCGGCTCACAAGGGAGGAGTTGAAGGTCGTTGTTCCCAAGAAGGCGCTTAAACCCCGCACATTCCGTATCAAGGTGAGATGACGGGAGGTTTTGGGTTTTGGGTTGGGCACGCCAGGGGGGCTGCTGCACCCGCACCAGCTGTCGGTGCGGCTCGCGCGGGAGGAGCTGAAGGTGGTTGTTAAGGTGAGAACATGGGTTGGGAATCTCCGAAGAAGGCCCTCAAGCCATGCACCTTCCGTATTAAGGTGAGAACATGGGTTGGGGTTTCAGGTTCGGGGTTGGGGTTAAGAGTGAGAGTGATGGACATGCCAGGAGGGGCTGTTGCACCCACACCAGCTGTCGGTGCGGCTCCTCCAAGAAGTTGGTGTGGGTGAGCCGCACCGACATCCAACTCCAACTTCGGGAGGAGCTGAAGTTGGTTGCCTCCAAGAAGGCCCTTCTTCGTCTCCTCCCTCCCACCCAACCCTCAAATCCCTTGGAAGCAGCAGAAGGCTCTCCCTCGCCACACTTCCCTACACCCGTATTCACCCCTCGTTCATGCAATGTCTAATTCACACTTACCCACCACTTCCCCTCCTACCCTTGGCAGCCAGGGCAGTGCGTGCTGCTGGGGGGACTAGCACGGGTAGACGTAGAGGAAGTGGCAGCGGGGTCCATCTATCTGACAGCCCTCCTCCCTCTCACTCCCCCCACTTCCTTCTCCCCTTCACAGCCAGGGCAGTGCGTGCTGCTGCGGGGGACTCGCCCGAGTGGACGTGGAGGCGGCGGCAGCAGAGTCCATCTATCTCACAACCCAGCTCCCCCTCCCCCCCACCCGTTCCTTCTCCCATTTGTGCAGCCAGGGTAGTGCGTGCTGCTGGGAGGTCTAGCGCGGGTGGATGTGGAGCAGAGTCCATCTCTCTGACGGCGTGGCTCCCTTCCTCCCCTCATTCTCTCTCCTTTTCCCCTCATTCTCTCTCCTTTTCCCCTCATTCTCTCTCCTTTTCCCCTCATTCTCTCTCCTTTTCCCGTCATTCCTGCAGCCAGGGCAGTGTGTGCTGCTGGGGGGACTAGCGCGGGTGGATGTGGAGGAGGCAGCAGCGGAGTCCATCTATCTGACAGCATGGCTCTCGCCAATGATAGCGTGCCACATGGGCAAGATCGCCAACGCGCCTGCTGTGCTGGAGAAGCACGTCGGGGTCAAGCTGCAGGTATGGCACTTGTAGGTTCGGTGAGTGCAGGGTCGGAGGTTAGAGGTTCGGTGGGAGGCATGGTGATCTTCTGGTTACTTTTTTCCCAACCTCTCAGACTTTGCTGGCCCTTCACAATCTTCATCTCTCCACATCACCAGCTTTCGTCGTGTTCTCGTTTTCTCAGCTGTAGCACTCACATCGTGCCCATCTTAGTAGCCAGCTTGAATTCTTCATTCTCTTTTCCCCATCTCCACCACTCAAATTTCCATCTCACTCCCTCCAACCCTCTCTCTCACCCAACCTTCAGCCGCCAGCAGAGGCATCTCGCATGGCAGACCTCGGAATGTGGTTACCACGTTCCGTTACAGTCGAGGGCACGCGGTGGGACCAGAGCAGCACTGACGTGGCAATCGCTGGACTCGGCTGGGTGGCTGTGGGAATCAAAGGCTCAGCAAAACTTAAAGTGTGGACGTTTGAAGGGGTGGGTGTGACTGTAAGGGAAGCTATGGTGTTTGATTATGCACCTGTGTTTGAACGCCCGGGGTTTTCTACTGGTGGGTTGCCTGTGACAAGGGAAGACGGAGGGAAGGGGGGCAGTGGTGGTGATGGTACGGTGGGGAGCGGTTTGAAAGGGAAGAAGACGAAGAAAACCAGAGGCGGCAGCAATAGGTCGAGGCCTGATGAGGTTGATGCTATTGTGCTGTAGTGTCCACTCCTGTACTGTGCAACTCTTGTAACATGCTGCGTGTAAAACAGTACAACCTTTTGGTGGTTGTCCAGTGGCTCTAACGACGCCTGCTTTTTGCACCGGCACTATTTAATTGATTATGCAGATGACTAGTCACGTCACTTACACTCCATTGTAAATACTGGGCGGCTCCTAAATGTGTACCCTGAAATGAATAAATCACTGAATGGTGCTGGTGGTGTACCAAGAGGACGTGAAATGTGCATATCTTTCCACTAAAATTATACATGAGTGAGAAGCTACACTCAATCGGATAAATTCATGCCAGAAGCCTAATTAAAGAAATGAATGAGGATGCGCAAGATGGGTGACCATGCCATGCCAAGTTATACGGCGCAAAGCTCTAGAGTCTCTTTACTCAACTACAACTCCCACTCCTACCCCACCGTTTTGTGGCAGAGCACACATCTGCACACAAAAAGCGTACGGTAGGTCCCAAGGCTCCTGCTGCTGATGCTGCACCCACACCGCATAACCGCAAACACAAGCAGCAGTAGCAGCCGCAGGAGAAACAAACCCACAAGTAGCAGCAGACGCAGCAGTGGCAGATGCAGCAGCAACAGCAACTGCCACGGCATCAATGGCAACAGCAACAGCAGCAACACCAACACCCAACCCAATAACACCAGCACAAACTGCCCTCCTCACCAGCCCAACAACCAGCCCCAGCAACCCCAATTTCCAGACTGGAGTGGTGCTCAATTATCAATATCTTCAAACTTCATTCAGAACCCACCACATGGCATGGGCCTACAGCAAGGCCCGTGCTCTTTCCTAATTTCCCCCCCAATGATCCCTCCGCCACGCCCTTCCTTCCCACCCCCACCTCAAATCGACTCCCTCAGCTTCCATTCCTTCCAGGACTCGCCAACACAAGTCGAGGCCTCTGCTTCGCATACTTAGGGCAGGCGGAAAGCCCAGGGCAGGCCTCTGCTTCGCAAAGGAGGAAAGCCCAGGGCAGGCCTCTGCTTCGCAAAGGAGGAAAGCCCAGGGCAGGCCTCTGCTTCGCAAAGGAGGAAAGCCCAGGGCAGGCCTCTGCTTCGCAAAGGAGGAAAGCCCAGGGCAGGCCTCTGCTTCGCAAAGGAGGAAAGCCCAGGGCAGGCGAGCAGAGCCGCTCCCGCTTGCTTGCCCCCCTCCCCTGTTCCCGCTGCTGTGCTCGCCCCGCCAAGCCAAATCACCACAGTGCAGCGGAGCAAGGCGACTTTGAGGGCCCCCCTTAAAAGCAGCTGTAAGCAGCGACTAATCGACCTTGAGGGCCCCCCTTAAAGCAGCTGTAAGCAGCGACTAATCGACCTTGAGGGCCCCCCTTAAAGCAGCTGTAAGCAGTGCCTAGTCAACCTTGAGGTGTAGCTTGAGGAAGTCGTATACCCAGTAGCTCAATGCCGCGGATGGCAGCACCTGTTGTGGTGGGAAGGTAACGAGGGGGAAGGACGGGAATAGAGTGTTTGGGAAAATGAGGGAATGAACGTTACTTTCGGGAGAATGTTGGGAAACAACGGAAACACTAAAGTGAAACACAGAGTTGGAGAATGTTGGGGGAAAACGGTAAGGGACAAAATGAGTCTGAAATACGTTTGAGTATATCCATGCAGGGTGAAGCATCCTCTCACTACAGTATAAAGTTCTCTGCCAAATCAGCGCTCTTATATTGAGGCTTGACTTGACAAGAATGAAGCAGACTTTCTCAAGCTGTTCACTTCTAAGCTCAGCAGCTGAGTAGCTGTTGATTCTCTCAGAGCCTAAGAATCGCACGATTTCAAAGAACCATAATCGCAAAAACCTCACCCCTATCTAGGGATTCCTCACAATCATTGTCAGGGATACTTTCCTGATTTCCAGCGAACCACATTCCGCTCTTTTCCAGCTTCCACCATCTCACACGTATCCGGCTTTTGCAAACCCCCTCTTTGCTTTTAAGTCCTTGTTGATTCACAGATTGGATCGCAAAAAGAACATACCTGAAGCAGGCCGGGGACCATTCTAGAGCGCAACAAGCTCAAATGTTACCTCAAGCTAGTCACTACCCCGATCGTTACAAGAACATACCTGAAGCAGCCCCGGGACCATTCCAGCGTAGAGCGCGGGGAGGCCTCCTCTCTGAACCACCTCCTTGAGCACCCGCATCGCTCCCGCCTTCTGTCCCGCCACCGCTACGGACCCCTGAATACCGCTCATCTGCATCTGCCGCCGAACCACCTCCAGAGGGTAGGTAGCGAACTCCGATACGACCCCTGCAATCGCCCCGTACAGCAGCGTTCGCATTGGTCCGAGCTCCTTCCGAACCTCCGCTGCTTCTACCGCGTCTGTCTCTACCGCGGATACATCTGTCGCTTGCGATTCAGACCCGTCCGCTTTGGCCAAAGAGGGGAGACCGGCTGATAGGGAGGCGGATTGGGAGGTAGAGGGGGCTCCTGGCAGGGCGAGTTTCCCGGAAGGCAGGAACGAGATCTTGTCTATCACTGGAAGCTTCGGCTTATCCTGGGATTGCAGATGCGTGGTTTTCATAAAATCGTAAGCCGCGTAAAAAATTGCGCAGGATGGAGCGATACTGTAGACCGCAGGCCAGATGCCTCGATATAAGCCGAAGAAACCCTGCGATCGGATCATCTCGCTTAAACAGCCGACCAGATCGGTGCACGCGATGCCGCCTTGCGCGATCATCCTCGTCCGAACCTGAAGAAACCAGATCAGGAAGAGAAAGAACACGCCATCCTTGATTAAACTTGTAACAGGGGATAGCTTAACGGGAATAGGGAGGGTACTGGAAGCTAAAGGGGAACATTATGATTAATCAGGGATTGAGAGTCAGATTAACGTGCAACCAGGAATGAGATCTGACACAGCGCCGTGCTGAACCAGATCTGTGCTCCCCCCATCTCGCAAGAAGCAATGCTGAACCCACTACCAACCGATGGTTCTCCAACCCAGCGGGAAACAATTCTATACCTACTAACCGATGCTTACCGTATCCAGCGGGAAGCAGGCGAAGGTGGCGATGACGCCGGCGACGGCTCCGGCCGATAACCGCTCGACATTGTTAACGTCCGTCTTCTTCGACAGATCCAGGATCTTTTGACGGAAGATGTCGTACATCACGAAATTGATGGTCTTAAACGGCACGATGCGCAGCAGGTTAACGCCATTGCCCTTCCAGAACCCCATCATGCCCTCGCGCGCGAATATCCGCCGGGTTAGCTCCGGCACATGCGCTTGAGCCCCGCACACCATGTACTCTAGCTTCAGACGCTCCAGAGGAGCCACCGCAGATCTGGAAGAAAGAGAAGAGGGGAAGCATTGGATTGGCCGACTTCAGAGTCTGACGATACACAAAGGGTATTGCTAGGTTCGATTAGAAATACGCGTGGTTAAGATTGGCACGCCTGCTTGAACGCTGTACACCATGCACCGCAGCAGCTTACGTTGTGAGGGAGCCAAACCAGATCTGGACGGTAAACGACAGAGAACAAGGTGACGCAGGCTCACGAGTAGAAAATACAACGGACGATGAAAAACTGAAGGACAGACGCGAGAATCACCGCGTTTTCCATCCCAGAATGGGAAACCGACATCTGATCCTGAAGCAGGCCGAACTGGAGACCATGAATAATGAAGATCCATGGCGAATCGGCTATTATAATGACCACATGCGCCGACAAACACGAGCCAGAATCTACCACAAGCACGATCCGACTCGCGCTCACCTGGCAACAACTGACGCGGTAGCTCCGGCGAAAATGTGTTTGACGGTCTTCAATCCGCCATCTTCCTGCAGCCGGCTCCACATCCCTGCAATATTCTCCCGGCATTCCTTCTGCGCGTTCCCCCACGCTTCCCCCGCCCGTTGCACAACGGCCTGACTCTGCGCCGCGACCCAATTCCGTGCCTTCCGCAACTCAACGTCGGGCTTCCATCTTCTGTTCGCAGTTTGTCGGATCTTCTTCTTCTCAATCGCTTCCCCAACGGCCGGTCGTGTAACCGGCCATCTGTCAATTCTGACGTCGGATCTGGGCCGAGGTGGATCCAGCGGGACGACATCCATGCCCCAGCCGTCGACGACGTCATCTAGAGGAAGAGGCGTGCGGAGCGGCATCGCTGCGGAGAAGCTCGCGTACTGCTTCCGCGCGTGAGGGGGAGTGACGCACGGCATGCGGAGAGAGTGGGGGTAGGTGCGTTGAAGATGGTGAAAGTCCTAAAACGCGTCGCAGAATCTCAAGATGAGGCTGGTCGGACGAACGATCGTAACAGATTTATTCTCGAAATGCAGGAACGGTTCTATTTCTTAGGACTGATTCGATAGAAGGCCGTTGTCAAACGTGAACAGGGAGTTGGCCCAACCCATCGTCATAGGACCTTGTCAAATCGGAGATCAGTTGGCGACCCAGGGAATCAAGCAGAAGTACGATCCAAAAACGGGGATAACAACACGATGGTAGTAAGCACGTCAGTCGCACGCAATGGCTTCTGAAAGAGAAATGAGATGCTGGGAGGACTTTAGTGGAACGAGCGAAGGAAAGGCGCAGTTGTGATTGAATTGACGCGAAAGAGCGCAGTGAGATTCTGAAATGGTGTTGTGGGGGAGGAGTTGTGGTGGATGAAAGGCAGCGATTTACCCTGGCTGGTGCAATTGCGTTGTGGGGGGGCTGGTTGGGGGGCTTTTGTGGCCACTACTACTCGGTCAGGGTGTGGAGGAGCAGCCCAGCAGTGGGAGAAGGGGAAGGGAAGGGGGGCATGCTGGTCTGATTGGAAGGAATGACTTAGAAAATCGGTGGCGGACGTCGGTGGTAATGGTGGCGTGCGACTGCGGCGAAACGAGGCATGTGCGAAGACGAAGGGTGCCCCTGAGCGAAAGAGTCAGAAGAGATACTGTAGGGGGTACGGACGAACCTCTGCGACACATGACGCTGTCTCGAGGTTACCGAGCATGTAGGCTTAGCGCACGAGGACCCGCGAGGAGGAGTATCTAGCAGGCCATTGTTGGGGGAATGGAATGCTGGATTGATTTTCGTGGAATGAACGGTGGTGACCAGAACTGGACCAGCTCAGCCAACGAGAACCCGCGAAACCTACAGACCAACTGCGTCCAGGCAGGGGCGCTTTCTGGGGGTGGTCGAGCCAATGAGCACCGTCGCGCGGAATGAGGAGCCAACCAGAGGAAACAAAAGAAGCGGCAGATTTGAGGGCGAGCGGCAACCGCAAGCAGGTCCCCCCATACACAGGTTTCCCGCGATCCTGAATGGAACGCTTCCGCACGTACTGGTGCCACGCGAGATCGAACCACGTTCACAGGCTGGGGTGAAGCCGGAACTCCCAATCAGCAGTGAAGGAATCTACCAAGCTTCTCATTCGGGCATCAAAACGTTTGCTGGACAAGCGAAATGGGGTGACAAAACAACCACACCACACCCACCCAGCCTCTGCGGTGTGCTGTGTTGCCTGCCCCAACAGTTGAACCAGCGCTGAGAATATTTGGGCTGAGCTGGCTGGACTTCCACGTGGCGTTTGTTCTTCCGTCGAAGCTGTGGTCGGGAAGATGCTTATGGTCCCCCCAGCGCGCGACATTCAAAAATCATACGAGCGCCAATGACTTGGCGAACTACGGTTTTGAGTGACAGCAAGTTCAGAGCAGAAATTTATGGAAAAAATCCTGCTTCGATTGTGTGCCACATGTTGAAGTGCGCTAACAAGCTCGTTACAAAAGGCAAAGATTATGCAAAGTTTACCACAACAGTTCAAGTCCGTATCCACTGTGGACGTATGCACCTTTTATAGTTTATTTTCATTTAAAGCCAGCAGCTAAAATAGTGACCCCCCCCTTCTAGTTGGGTCCACTTGAAAACACAAGTCTCTTACGAACGTTTGAAAAGTTGACGTGCTGTGCGTTTTTATTTTTTTCATCCCAGACGAGTCTTGATCTGAACGGGAAACATGTGGAACTTGTTAACAAATCTGATTGGTGGCGACTTTCACCCACATTCCTATGCGAATTTGGCGCAGGGCTGCAATCCCACATTCACCAGAGCAGCCGTCGTAACTTCACAAGAATCCCTGTATGCAAAAACCAGCGCGCACACAGGCGAAATCCAGTGCGCACAGAGGCAAAAACAGGCCCATTCCTGCGCTAACACGGGCAAAATCAGGCAAAATCCAGCGCGCACACAGGCATGATCAAGCAAAATCCATGGCACGCACAGGTGAAACCAGGCGAAGAAGATATAAATAAATAAATCAATGATGTACGAAAAGAGGGAGGGCGTCGGGACGGTTGATTGATCGACAGCGAAGGCGAAGAGAAGGGACTGGGGACAAGGGGGGCGACGGGAGAGGAGGGGAGAGAGGGGGAATGACAGGATGGGAGGGAAGAGAGGAGGAACAAGGCGATTGGAGCGACAGGAAAAACGCGAGGGTGATTGGAGGAGAGGGGTAATGGAGATGACGACAGGAGGGCGACGGGACAGCGACGGGACGGACGACAGGATCGCGACGCGGCGGTCGACGGGACGGCGTCAGGACGGACGGAGCGTGGACGATCGGAATGGGAGGGCGAGCGAGATGAGATGGGAAGGCGCGAGAGTGCATTCGAAACGGCACTATGTACTACACAACCATGCCAGCTTCACTACGCGTCTAAATTGAAACAACAACGACCTAAGTTGACAGTTCTATGGCTAGACATGCTACAAATAACTAAGAAGCAGAGATGTATGTTCAGAAGAACTAGTAGTTGTTCACCCAGGCCCAACTTGAACCCCAAGCTGGGCCCAAAATCGCAAGGACGTGCATGAGCGATCGCAGTGGCAGGTTACCAAACTGATATGCGACGACTGACGTGCTGTGTTCCTTCTTTCGGGTTTTGGCGGGAACCAATCAGATGTGTTCGATCTGCTAAAAACGCTCTAACTGAAATACTGGAAACTTGTCGGTTTGGTTCGAAAATTGTTTCGCACGGCAAGCCCTCTTTCAAGCTGGCCCCGGGTTCACTATTTTGCATTTCGGTTTTAAATCACTTCCCCATTTCAACGAAATAATTAAAGTCAGTAGGAAGATATCCATATTAACAAATCATGTCATTATCAACACATTAACGGCATGCCAGTGTACCAATTCCTACGGATTGAACCAACCCCACGTCTTGACAAACTGCCCCCTCAAAGCACATTTGTTGCCATAATAGGAGATAACAGCAAAATGGCCACGAGGGTTGTTCATGAGCTTGTACGCTGGGGATAAAGTGTACAAGAAGCGAGTGAGGTATCTAACCTTCCTCGTTGCATGGTAGCTGTAAGCCCCAACCTGCCTATTTATGGGGCCGTTCAGGGTGTCATTCTTCCAGTTCATGACAAACGGCGGCACACGCACCCCATCTGCGTTGGCTGGAGATGTGAAGCGCCTACCAATATATACTCCATACAAAGGGATGTTACCGTTGCTGAACATGTTGTTGGCCGTCACGAATGTCCGCACCTCGTAAAACGGTCCATCTCTGTAAAATGAAGTTGAATAGTAAAAAGACGCTTTAACCCCCATCAATAAGTGTGTCGAAACGAGTGCTATTGACAAAAGCACACGAGCTTACATGTAAACGGAGATGACAGCTCGTCCGAATCCGAGGTTAAAGTTGGTACCTCCAAAAACATTCACTCCTGAAAGAATGGCTGTCGCTCTCACTGCCCACGTTATCAAGCATTTCAAAGAATGGGAAACATGAGACACCACGCATTCAACGGACCGAGCAAACTTTTTCCAGGAGGATAAGGGATAAAGGTATGTGCGAGAACGAGCGGGGATGTCAGGCACAAACGGACCGCACATACGATCGCCTGTTTTTCTTTTCTATCTGTTTTTTTCGCGTGATAAGATGTGACGACTTACTGTAAAGAGTTTTGGAGGAAGCCACGGATGCGAGGGTGCCTGTTGTCAGGAGGACAATGCGAAACGCGAGTTAGGGCAACGGCCAGGTGACCAAGAGTACGAAGGGAAATGCGTCGTGGAAAGGTTGCGAGCGGAAAGTCGATTAAGCGTGGCATGAAAAAAAAAAACAGTCAGTAGTGCCAGAGGTGCTCACACAGAAGAAGGAAGACAGAAATTATTCGATGCTTCTCCATCCTTTCGTGTCACTGACTTCGAGCAGCAGCGAAAGACTGATGACCGATGATACTCTCTCTCAGCTAAGGGCTTCAGACACGACTCGGTGAGTAGGGGGGGGCGTGTTTATAGTGCTGACTGCTGAGCGGATTTGGGAGAGCCATTGAGCGAATGGGGGCGCATGTAGCTAGCTCTACGATATTGGCCGCATCTGTGTATTCTGTCAGAAGGCAGCACCACTATCCTAAAGTAGGCTTGCCGAAACTTGCGGCTCGTAGGTATGCTTGTAGTGATCCGTACATGCACGTTGAACATCTGAAATATTCACCACAACTGCCAAGAAATGTGTATTTTGCAAGCACTTCGCATTTTGCAAACCTCTCCACTCCCGTTCAGGGAGTGCGAGAAATGCAAGAAATGTCAATCCTTGCGGGTAGTTTGCCCGAAGAAAAGGGAGGTTTGCATGTTTGTGAAACAGTCCGTTCAATTTGCAGTGGCAGTGGCAGTTACGAATTTCGGTCGGTGGTGAGGCGGTCTGTAACGGATTTTCGCGAAAGCTTAGCGAAAAGGGCTCATCAATGTATGCGATGGTTCGTGCACCTGGAAGAACCAATTGACCAAATATGCCAACCTCAGTAACAGCAGGCCCGATATAGGATCCCCGAAAAGAAAAGATGTTTCGAGAGAACTAGCTTTTCAACAATTCGACCCAACAAACGGCAGTGCAAAAATGCCATCCACACCAAGAAACGATCGAGCAAAATACAGCTTTTTTGACACTAACTATCGAACTACTTCAGGTAAGCATGTTTGCCACCTAGCACTTTGTGACTGTAAAACAAAACTTACGATGTGTAACAAGGGAAAAGGCATGCACTGGCATGGTGCACATACCAGATAGCAAGGCCCTAGAGCCACTAAGCCATATTAATAATTACCATCAGGACTAGAAAATCCGCCCACTCCAGCTACTCCACCTTCAAAGCCCGTTCTTCCTCGGTGGGAGCCCTATCCTCACCACCCTCCCCACTGCTAACCACAGCAGCAAGAGCCTCGGGAGTCTCCTCCTGCATTGTCGAGAGGGTTGGCTGTGCTTTGGAACCCAGCGCACTGAGAGGCTGCATCTTCGGGCCATTCAAGATGAGAGCCGTGCATGCAATGAGGTGCATGCCCACAATCAGGCAGCACTGGTAAGCAATAGCCTCGGGCACCTGTATTGTTACATGCAAAGATAAGGGGAGGAAGGCATTGGGGAAGTTACGAAATGAAATAAAGAGTGGGTGGTGTACTGCGGAAGGAAGGAACGTTTGGCATGGAAGCCGCGAGGTGGATTTTCTTGAGGTGCCTCGAAAAAAGCTGTGAGGCAGGGTTATGGCAGGGTCAGAGGAGGTTAGGAAGGAAATAGAGATACAGCCCCAGGAATGACATCCACGTTATTGAGAGACTTGTTACTGGCAGAAACACAAACACGACGAGTTTAATCGGCGACAATCATTACAGGCACAGCCGCTACAGGCACCACAACTACAAGCACAACCACTCACAGTGAAGTTGTCAATAGAGTACTCCTTGAGAATCTGGTCCCCACTGGGGCAGGCGGGAGAGCAGTCAAAGGTCAGCCCTGGAATAAGGAGAGAGGGAGAAGAGAGGCAAGATGGTGAAAGAAAGGGTGAGATGAGACAATTTTGGTAGCAACTCAGAAAGTGGCAGGCGGGAGAGCAGTCAAAGCCAGCCTTGGAATAGGGAGAGGGGGAGGAGAGAGGCATATTGGAGGGAGGGAGGCCGGGCGAAATGAGACGATTTCGGAAGCGCATCAGAAAGTGGCAGGCGGGAGAGCAGTCAAAGTTCAACCCTGAAAAAGGGAGAGGGGGAGGAGAAAGGCAAGATGGAGGGAGGCAGGGTGAGAGGAGACAATTTTGGAAGCCTCAACCTGGATGGCTCAGCAAACCCCCAGACCCAGCCCAACCGAGGCCAAGCTAAACCTACGGCTCACCTACGGCCACACCACCCAAACCCACTCCGCCCCACACATCAAGCCTATCCCAGTGAGAATAGTGCGACCAGACGAGAGTGAGACTCACCCTCGAACTGGTTGACAGCCAGGCCGACAAAGCCCCACTGGATGGGCGAGATGTAGCGCACCCAGCGGATCCAAGCGGGGGTGGAATAAAATCCACCCCATCCTACCGCATCCCACCTTACCCAACACATTCCAATGACCAGAGTGTGACTCACTCACCTGAGAACTGATTAACGGCGAGCCCCACAAAGCCCCACTGGATGGGCGAGATGTAGCGCACCCAGCGGATCCACACGGGGATGGAGTCGAGATTCACGTAAAAGCCGCCAAACAGCATCAGCACGACCGTGAAGAGAGGACCCATTGCCAGGGCCAGCTGAGGGGTGGGCGCGATTGACCCGATCTGCAAACAGCAGGAGCACAAACAGAGGGGAAAGAGGGTATGAGAGGGCATTGAGATTCACGTAGAAGCCACCAAACAGCATCAGCACGACTGTGAATAACGGACCCATGGCCAGGGAGAGCTGGGGGGTGGGCGCGATTGACCCGATCTGCAGGTGAGTGGGGGCAAGGCAACGAGGGGAGGTAAGCAGCATGAGCACGACTGTGAAGAGAGGACCCCTGGCCAGGGCGAGCTGCGGGGTGGGCGCGATTGACCCGATCTGTGGGAGAGTTTAGGGTTTAAAAGGGTAGATGAGGGGATTGAGGATGTTTGTGGGGGACGAATCAACATACAAACGACCACGACTGTGAAGAGAGGACCCATGGCCAGGGCGAGCTGAGGGGTGGGCGCTATCGAACTGATCTGCGGGTGAACGAGTGGGGGTGAGTAAGGGAAGGTTGAGAAGGATTTACGGGGGTTATTGATCGCACACACACTCGCCCCCCCCCCCCCCCTCTCCCCCCCCCCGCCCCCGGACATGCATGCCCACCAATCCCATCACAACGCACCATGATACCAAGGCCGTTCATGGCCGTGAATTCGAGCATGCAGATGACGAGGAAGAGAAAGAACTTGGATGCTCTCCTCCTTCCCCCCCTCCCTCCTCCTCTTCCCCCAGATGCGCACGCACGTGCACCAGAATAGCCTCGCGCCCCTCACACAACCACGCACCATGATACCGAGGTGACTTTAGAGTCGACTCAAAAGTCATACGTACGTGCACCAGAATAGCCTCGCGCCCCTCACACAACCACGCACCATGATACCGAGGCCGTTCATGGCGGTAAACTCGAGCATGCAGATGACGAGGAAGAGGAAGAACTTGGAGGCGACGCGCTGGTACTGGATGGGCCAGTAGGCGATGAGGCCAAACACGATCACCGGGCCGATGCGGATGGGCCACTCGGAGAGCACTTTGGCGGGGTAGTATGCGGTCACACGGTACGTGTTGGACGATCGCTCGCGGTTCACCACTCCTTTTTCCAGGGGGAAAGTGGTGATCATCTGCCGTGATGGGGATGGAGGGAGGGGGGAGGGAGAGGGGGGAGGGAGAGGGGGGGAGGGAGAGGGGGGAAGGAGAGGGGGAGGGAGAGGGGAGGGGGAGAGAGAGGGGGAGAGAGAGAGGAGAGAGAGAGGGGATCACACGGGCGTTGGGTACGGTGATTGTTGTGCCAGCCAGTAGCCTGATTGGGTTTTAGGGGGGTGTGGGGAGGTGGTGAGGATAGAAAAGGAGGGGGTGTTCTACAGAGGTGGTTACAGGGGTGGTTAGATGGCGAGGAAGAGGGAGATGAAGAAGAGGGAGCCCGTCATGCTCTGCTGGGGACTTTTTGAGTCGATTCAAAAAGCTGTTGGGGTTCAGTTGGAGTAGAGAATCAAGGAAAAATATTGCAACTCTTCCCCATCCCCCCCCCTCCTTCAGCCCCCCTCCTCCCCCCCCTCCCCCTCTCCCTTCCCCTCCTTCCCTCCCCCCTTCCCCCCCTTCCCCTTCCCGCAGAAATCACCTGGAAGATGCCGTTGAAGGCGAGGAAGAGGGAGATGAAGAAGAGGGAGCCTGTCATGTTCTGCTGGGGGGCGGCGCTCGTGTTGGAGTAGAGAATGCAGATCATCACCATCATCACCATCGCCTGCACGTACGCTATGGCGATCGGCAGCCTATCCCTTGTGACCTGCAAACAAGCACGGCCATGTGATAGAGGATGGATCGCACGCAGAGGATTGAGAGTAGAGGATGCAGATCATCACCATCATCACCATCATCACCATCGCCTGCACGTACGCGATTGCTATTGGCAGCCGGTCCCGCGTCACCTGCAAGCAACCACAGCCATGTGACAGAGGATGAATCACACAGAGGATTGAGAGTAGAGAATGCAGATCATCACCATCATCACCATCGCCTGCACTTATGCGATCGCAATCGAAGTAGCTTAAGACATCTCAAAACCCATCTCGCCTTCCTCACCTGCAGCCACGACCGTTTCGTCAGCACCACCAGCTGCGTCCCCCAGGAAGACGCGTACTTGGAATACTTCATTCCCTCGGTTGCCAGGTATGTTGGTGTCGCTCTGTAAATTCTCAAAAGCCTCACCTGCAGCCACGATCGTTTTGTCAGCACCACAAGCTGCGTCCCCCAGCTAGACGCATACTTGGAGTACTTCATCCCCTCCGTCGCCTCAGCCTGCTCCTCCATGCTCTTCTGGTGCAGGTCCGGCCGGACCTCCCGCGAAGGCTCGTAGCCCGAGGCGAGCTTCTCGATGCGCGCGGCAGACTCGGTTTCCCGCTGCTCGTCGCGGCGGTCGACGGAGATCATGTCCATGAAGTAGTCGGCCGGGTTGAAGTGCTCCGGGCACGTGAAGCCGCGGGTGGAGAAGTAGTCGATTGAGTCGGCAGCCTGCCCGAAGAAGACCATGCGACCTTCGCTCAGCAGCAAAAGGTTTTCAAACTGTATGGGGTAGGGGAGATGGAGAGGAGATGGAGAGGAGATGGAGAGGAGATGGAGAGGAGATGGAGAGGAGATCATGTCCATGAAGTAGTCGGCCGGGTTGAAGTGCTCCGGGCACGTGAAGCCACGGGTGGAGAAGTAGTCGATGGAATCGGCAGCCTGCCCGAAGAAAACCATGCGGCCCTCGCTCAGCAGGAGCAGGTTCTCAAACTGGAAAGGGGGAATGGGGAGGGGGTAGAGATGGGGTCGGGGAGGAGAGGCGGGCACAGAAGAGTGGTAGACGGAGGGAGGTGGAAATGAAGGGGAAGAAAATGCGGGAATCAATGAAGGTGGTCACTCACGTGCCTTTGAAAAGCGTAAGGGTTCTATCCACTCACAAGGGCGAAGAGGAAGGAGCGCGGCTGGTGGATGGTGGAGATGACGGTGCATGCATGTGTGCAGCCAAAGACCAACCCATGGCGAACACCATAACGAACCCCTAAACCGATCCTTCCACTCACAAGGACGAAGATGAAGGAGCGTGGCTGGCGGATGGTAGACATGACGGTGCATGCATAAGGAAACCGCCAGGCATCCATTGTTGAGAGCTCATAAGGTCACCACCCACTCACGAGAGCAAAGATAGAGGAGCGCGGTTGGTGGATGGTGGAGATGACGGTGCGGCCGCTCTTAGAGAGGTCAGAGAGCGCACTCATCACGTTGAGAGCCTGAAAGCTGTCCAGGCCAGATGTGGGCTCGTCTGAGCATGGAGGGGAGGGGTGGGATATGGAGGGGTGGGATAAGAGCAACAGGTATGAATGATTGCTAAGGAGAGATCAGATCAGAGAGCGCACTCATCACGTTCAGCGCCTGGAAGCTGTCCAGTCCGGACGTGGGCTCGTCTGATCGAAGGTGAAGAGAAGGGAGGAGTGGAGAGGGGAATAAGGGCAATCGGAATGATTTCACAGAAGAGATCAGAGGGAGTGCGCTCGTCACGTTAAGCAGCTTGGAAGCTGTCCACGCTTTCTGAAAGCGCCTGGAGACTGTCCACCCCAAACGTGGGCTCATCTGGGGTGTTCCGCGCCTTGCTCAGCCCCAGCTCCGCAATGATCGACTCTGCCAGTTGCAGGCGCTGCGCCTTGGGCGTGGAGGACGGCAGGACACATGCAACTCACTCCAATCCCAGGGAACATCAGAGCACACAAACTCACCCAAACTCACCAGAGCATCGCAACTCACCCAGGAACACAAGAGAGGGGTTCGAAAGCATCTCCACAGAGATGTTGGTGCGCTTGCGCTCGCCGCCACTAACGCCCCTTATCATCTCATTCCCAATGGGCGTATTTCTCGCCTTGCTGAGCCCCAGCTCCGCAATAATCGACTCCGCCAGCTGCAGGCGCTGCGCCTTGGGCGTGGACGACGGCAGGCGCAGCATGGCAGCCGTCTGCAGCGCACGCTATGGACCGAGGAAACCCCAAAGCAGCGTAACAACTCACCGAGAAACACGAGCGAGGGGTTTGACAGCATCTCCACAGCGATGTTGGTGCGCTTCCTCTCCCCACCACTGACACCACGGATCATCTCATTCCCAATGGGAGTGTTGCGCGCCTTGCTCAGCCCCAATTCCGCAATGATGGACTCCGCCAGCTGCAGGCGCTGCGCCTTGGGGGTGGACGACGGCAGGCGCAGCATGGCAGCCGTCTGCAGCGTCTCCCAGACGGTGAGCGTGGAGAACATGAGGTCGTCCTGCATCACATACGCCGAGATGCGCCTGAAGCTCTCGTCCCGCGGGCGCCCATTCACCAGCACCTGCCCGGACAGGGAGGTTTTAGCTCCCGATTTCATCACCCGGCCTGCTAGCACGTTCAGCAGACTCGTTTTCCCGGAGCCTGGAGGGGCAGGGAAGGGGGAAACAGGGGCAGATGAGGGGTACTGCCTGAAGCTCTCGTCCCGCGCCCGCCCGTTGACCAGCGCTTGTCCCGCTAGGGAGGTGGGGGCGCCTGTGCGTTCAACAGCACCTGCCCCGATAGGGAGGTTCGGGTGCCCGTTCCGAGATGTGAGCGCAAGTTCAACTGCAAACAAGTCTCTGGACTGAAAATAACTAACCAGAGATACCCATTATAGCGAGGAAGGGTGTCGGCTTTAACTACGAAGGAGGCATGAGAGGCAGTTAATGGCGAGGAAAGTTACCAGCTTTGACGCGTCTCTCAAGGTGAAATACGAACGAAGCATGAGGAAGGGAAAAGCATCCCACCTGAGGGGCCCATGATGGCAAGGAAGGAGCCCGCCTTAACGTATCCCGTGAGGTTATCCAAAATGGGAGCGAGAGGTCAACTGCACGGAAGGTTTTGGACTGGAATAACTAACCTGAGGGGCCCATGATGGCAAGGAAGGAACCCGCCTTGACGGTAAGTGTCTCTCGCGGTTAACTACGAACGATGCGTAAAGCAGGAACACGTATCCCACCTGAGGGGCCCATGATGGCGAGGAAGGAGCCCGCCTTGACGTATCCCGTGAAATTAACGGCAAAAAGTTACACGACCCGAACGAAACGTAACGAAAGGGGAAAGGGACCCACCTGAGGGGCCCATGATGGCGAGGAAGGAGCCGGCTTTAACGTATCCCGTGAGGTTATCCAATATGAGCTTGTTGGTCTTCGCCTTGCCTCGTCCCAGCGTCACCGTGTATGTGACGTTCTTAAACGCCAGCGACACGGGGTGAAAGCGAGTCCCTGGCGTTGCTGCCGCCACCTGGATGAGAGGAAAGAGAGAGGACGGGGAGTTATGAGCGTCGCGGGGAAGAGTTTCCTGAAAAACGTGACGCGTTTAAACGCCAGTGCTAAGTTTCCTGAAGTACGTCACGCGTTTAAACGCCAGAAACACCGGGTGGAACACGCGTTCGCGTTCAGTGATTCCACAGCGTCAGTCAGCTTAAAGAAGACGAACATAGGGGGAAAAAAAATGCAAGAACATTAAGCCTCCGTCGTTGCATAATTCAAACACAAAAGGATATGATTATGCATACATATACTTATATTTAATATAATAAGTATCAGCGACACCGGAATTGCTAGGGCGTGGAGCAAAAAGAGTTCAGTGAACGGAGAAAGAGTGAATGCTCCGTCAGACTTACCTCGAACATAGACTGCGTTCGCTTATACTCGGGTCCTTCTGGCGGAATGGCGACTCTCTCTTCCGCGTTCAACGGCTCGCCTTGCTCCACGTCGATCGGCGCAACGTCGCCGCTGCTGTTAGGCACCTCCCCCATCGCCCCGCCTGAGCCCATTGTTCCTTCTGCTTCAGTGGTAGGCTACAAGAACGACCGTCGTCGAGCAGGAATATGTATGCCAAGCATACAACTAGGACCCGGCGAAACGAGGGATAGCACTAACTTCGTCACTACGTTATGGGTACACCAGCTTTCACTCACCACGACCGCTAAAGGTGGAGTTGACACTCGAGACACCACCAGCAGGAACACCCAGTCCTGAACAAAAACAGTCAGGAAGGGCAAGCACACTGGATGGAAACAGAACAGCAGCACAGCAGTATAGAAGCACGACTTCTTCTAGGGCATCAGGGCAGGGCCACTCGCCTCGCCATCGGTTACCGAGTACGGTAAGGGTGGAGCACCATAGCTGAGTATCGCTCGAAAACCTACTCAAACGTTGTGAAAATGTAATGTTTGGCCAAACATCTCACCTAACCGCACAATCGGAAGGTTGTGGGAGGGGCTGGGGCTGCTTCAGCGATCTTGGCGAGACTTTGACGAGAAAGAAGGCTCAACGCTGCCAGCTCATAAGTCTTCGCAAATGGGAACAGCTTGCTGTTGGACTGCTTTGGCACCCAAAAGTCTGGCGAAACTAGGCGAAGACGGTCTCATCGCGACAGCCGCCAAAAGGATAACGTGATGTCCGATACGTGCTGGGGTGGGGAGGCATTCGAGCGTGTGACTGGCCAATCAACGCACGTGCTGTAAGAGGGAAGAAACTGCGAGGAAATGAAGAGCGAACTATGCCTACGCCAGCAATGCTTCGTAAGAGCAAAGCCTCTTCGTTTGATAATATGATGCAGAAGATTTATGTGTACATCTACTATGGAAACATATTCAAGAAAAATGAATCAAGCTTCTAAAACTATGTTCAATTTGCACGCACACACAAAACTGGGATAATTTTGCAGCTCTAATCTAATGTCAGAAACCAAGTGGAAGCAGGGACACAGGAAGGGGACAAGGCACCAAAGGGGGACAAGCAGAAGACACACACAACTGAAGAGGGAGCAGGGAAGACAGAGGGTGAGAGTTTGTCTTGGATGTCAAGAGACACAAACGAAACTGCTTGTATCCTGAAAAGTGGCACTGCAAAAAGAGAAGCAAACAAGCGGAGCAACCTGACGTGCCCATGCCTGCCTGCCTGCATTCAGTTCTTCCATCTTGAAGGACTTCCAGCTGTGTTGGCTGAAACTATTAAAAAGCATTCAGTCTGCATATTTGCTTTAGTCTTATGAAACTGCATTCAATCAGCAGCTTGTTGTGCTGCTGAGGCACGCTGATGCTGGAGAAGGGGAGAAAGACAAGCAAGCAAGAAACAGGCACAAAGGCAGAAACAAAAGAAAAGAAATACACACACAGGAGAGGAAGAAAACACAGAAAAAACACAGGCAAGAAAGGAAGAAAAAAGAGGGGAGGGGGAGAAACGGCAAATGCAGGAGAAAAGACAGGTTGTCAGAAATGAAAATGGTTTCAATCGAATGCCCTGCTTTGTGAAATACCCGACTTGGTTTCCAGTCTCAGCTTCAGCGCAAGCTGCTGAAAGGGCGGCAGAATATGCAAGGTGGATTCACTTGATACTCCTGTCCCAGACATCACTTGACCTTGGAGGCATCAATTGCACTTGATCCCACAAATGCCTTGCACCACGTGTTCCTGTTTCCGAGAGTGAGAGGGACAGTGTGAATCAAATCCCCTCCATATCTGTCGATTGCACCATGTGTTCCTGTTTCCGGAAATAAGAGGGACAGTTTGAATCAAATCCCCGCCTTATCTGTCGATTGAGCCGCTCCATCATGCATGCTCCTCCATCCATGGATAGCTCTTCCGCATGTTTTAGGCAGCGAGGGAAGAACGCACAAACCACACAGCGCACATACCAACAAGCCATCTCCTTGACTTTTAACCCACTTAAAGCACGAATCGCTCAGCACAAAGAACCCTCGAGGGGCCTGATGCATTTGGGCACTTAAAGCACGAATCGCTCCAAGGCTTGCTAGAGAGCAGGCCCTGACCAAGCCTAGTGTGGTGAAGACCTGATTAGCTTTGCTTGAAGCTACTCTCGCAGGCCTTTTGACCAACCTTGGAAGGACAGTAGTAGTTACTTTGCTTGCTAGCTTACTTGTTTGTGCAGTCAATCTTCCTCCTCCCCATAGTCCACAAGGGTCATTCCTCCTGTGCCACCTGCCGAGCCTGCAGTCACCGAACCTGGAGCGATGTTAGCCGAACCTGTGGCATGGGCGGATGCTTAAGGGCCAAAAGAAGTTGAAGAGAGCAGAGAGAGGTAGATGCCATTAAATATAAGGGAATCTCACTTGCATATTATGCATAAAACACATATATGTATATACGCAGTGTTAAAAGGCCACATGACATGACTAGAAGATTGACCATTCTGCTTACCGTTTTGCCCATTTGCCTGGCCTCCTCCACCTCCTCCGCCGAGCCTGGTCGGCAGCTTCGGCGGCGGCGGACCCATGACCGACCGAGCCTGTGGCGGAGGCATGGAAGAAGACTGGTACTGCGGCTGCTGATGCTGCTGCTGCTGCTGCTGCTGCTGCTGCTGCTGCTGCGGCTGATAAGTGGTATAGCTTCCCCCATACGAGCCATAGGAAGACTGGTGGCCACCTGTACCATTCCCTGCACCACCACCCCCACCCCCACCAGACGAACCACCACCACCAGCACCACCACCGCCACTCCCACCACCGCCAGCACCACCAGCAGCAAAATTACCAGCAGCAGCACCACCTCCCCCTCCTCCCGCTCCTACGTCAGTCACTTCTCGGAACTTTCTCCCCTTGCCCGATGTGCTCCTGTTCGCCCCTCCCCCTCCCCCCATCCCCACCTGCGAGTACAACCCCCCATAAGCCGCATAACCCGGCCCTGTCACCCCTCCCCCTCCACCCCCGTCCTTCTCTCCCCCTCCCCCTCCCCCTCCCCCTCCTCCTCCTCCCCCCCCCCTCCGCCACCACCTCCGCCTCCGCCCCCTGACTGCTGCTGCTGCCACTCGTCCCGGATGGTGTCTATAAGGCTCTCTGCCAGCTTCTTAGCTTCGGCCATCTGTGCTGCCGATGAACCTTCAGAGGCAGTGAGGGAGATGTGTAAGGGCGCGTTCAGCTCTGCACACAAAGGTCACAAGGGTGGAAAGGGGAGGAAGCGGGGGAAGGGGACGGGGAAGGGAGGAAGGGGGCGGGGGATTCTTTAAGCAGACGAGCCTGACTGCTGCTGCTGCTGCTGCTGCTGCCACTCGTCCCGGATGTTGTCTATAAGGCTCTCCGCCAGCTTCTTTGCCTCTGCCATCTGTGCTGCTGATGCCCCCTCGGTGGCCGTGAGGGAGATATGTAGGGGCGCGTTCAGCTCTGCACACAAGGGATGGAAGGGGAGGAGGAGACAAGGGGGGGAGAGGGAGAGTGAGGGGATGTATTATTAAGCAGGCGAGCCTGATTGCTGCTGCTGCTGCCACTGCTGCTGCCACTCGTCGCAGAGAACGGTGAGGGTGAGTGGAGCTCTCTGCAAGTTTCTCCGCTTCTCTCCTCACCCCGACTTTCCTCCTTTCTTCACTGTTGATCTCACCCGGCCTTCACGTCACCTCCCCCCACGTTTTGAGGTGCCTCAAAACTAGACTTCTCTCCTCACCGTGACTTTCCTCCTTTCTTCACTGTTGATCTCACGCGGCCTTCACATCACCTCCTCCCTCCCCTCACCTCCACCTCTCCACATCCTCTTCACCATTGATCGCTGATCTTCACCATTCTCGCCTCAGCTCCACCGTTGATCGCTGATCTTCACCATTCTCGCCTCAGCTCCACTGTTGATCGCTGATCTTCACCATTCTCGCCTCAGCTCCACCGTTGATCGCTGACCTTCACCATTCTCGCCTCACCTCCACCGTTGATCGTTGATCTTCACCATTCACCCCTCACCTTCGCCGTTGATCTCGTGGTTGTTGGAGCACCGTCCATGCAGCGTCGCTTTGATACCCGTGGATGTCTGGATGTGCTCCAGGTACGAGTCCTGCATGCGTGTGTGTGTGGAGGGGAGCAGAGATAAGAAACATTGAGGTTTGTTGGAGCAGCGCCCATGCAGCGTCGCCTTGATACCCGTGGATGTCTGAATGTGCTCCAGGTAGGAGTCCTGCATGCGTGTGTGGAGGGGGAGAGAGAGAGAACCAAAGAAAACATGTCAGAGAAACACAGTACGTTAAAGCCCATTCCCGTCCATGCAGCGTCGCCTTGATGCCCGTGGACGTCTGGATGTGCTCCAGGTACGAGTCCTGTGCAGGTGATGGGAACAGTGGGGAGCACGCGAGAGAAACACGGTTTTCAGGTGCTCTCACTGCCCCATGCAGTGTCGCCTTGATACCCGTGGACGTCTGAATGTGCTCCAGGTACGAGTCCTGCACGCGTGACGGGCAAAAAAAAAACACATGCACGCACGCACACAACCAATCAACAAGCCCCGGTACAATCCCTTCGCTCTTTTTGCTCAATACTCTACTCACATTTGGCCCTCTGATGCGCCCCGAAGCGTCAAACTCACGAGTCGGTTCAAACCCCGCAAAAACTAGCAAGATGTTGCTGCTCAGACGGAGGAATAGACCCAGCAGAAGCAGACGGGGCGCTATACCCCTCCAAACAAGTACCAGCCCCAAACCCACCCCCCTCATCCATAATCAACTCACATTGGGGCCTCTGATTCTTCCAGAAGCGTCGAACTCCCGTGTCGGCTCAAACCCAGCAAACACCAGCACGATATTGCTGCCCGGAGGGAATGACCCAGCAGAAGCGGACGGGGCGCTATACCCCTCCAAACAAGTACCAGCCCCAGAACCACCCCCCTGATCCATACTCAACTCACATTGGGGCCTCTGATTCTTCCAGAAGCGTCGAACTCCCGTGTCGGCTCAAACCCCGCAAACATCAGCACGATATTGCTGCCCGGCGGAATAGATCCAGAAGAAGTGGACGGGGGGGCGTACCCCTCCAATCCTCTCCCCCTCCCCACCCTGATTTACTCACATTCGGGCCTCTAATGCGGCCAGAAGCATCAAATTCTCGGGTAGGCTCGAATCCCGCAAACACCAGCACAATGTTGCTGCCCGGAGGAATAGACCCCGCAGAAGCGGACGGGGCGCCATACCCCTCCCCATACGCCCCAGGGGGAGGTGCACCGTAGGCCCCAGCAGGGGAGGCGCACCCGGGGGAGGCCCATATGGCGACGGGGCAGGATAAGCAGGTGGGGGGTACTGCCCGTACTGCCCGGGCGCCTGGGGAGGGTATTCACCAGGTGCACCCTGCGGGGGAGGGCCATACCCGGGGGCACCCTGAGGGGGATACGGGGCAGGAGCACCAGCAGGAGGGGGGTAGCCTGGGTAACCGTGGGGGGGAGGGGGACCATACGCAGGGTCATAGGTCCCTGGGGGAGGGGCGGAATATCCCCCTGGGGGGGGAGCGCCATAGGGGGGAGGCTGGCCGGGAGGAGGGTAGGACCCAGGCGGGTAAGAACCAGGCGGGTAGGATCCAGGGGGGTAGGACCCGGGAGGGTAGGATCCGGGGGGAGGTGCGTACTGGGGAGGGGCGCCATACCCTTCCCTGTCCCTCTCCCTGTCTCTGTCCCTGTCCCTGTCTTGATCGCGGTCCCTATCCCTGTCTCTCCCTCTGTCCCGCTCCCGATCCCGGTCCCTGTCTCTGTCCCTCCCATACCGATCCCGATCCCTGTCTCTCTCCCTGTCCCTGTCTCTGTCTCTGCCCCTGTCGCTACGTCCATACGGATCGTATCTCTCTCTTTCCCGCCCCCTGCCCGCCTCCTGCTCCCTCTCGTGCCGCCCAGCCCATCCCGCCCTGCCGCCGTCGCGGGACGATCGCGACCGCTCGTCGCGCCACGGCGGACGGCCAGGATCGGCCCGATCAGGCGCCTGAGCCCTGGGCTGCTCTCCTGGCCGTAGATTCATGATATCCTCGATCATACGGACGGCTGCGTCCACCATCCGCTGCTTCTCCTCCGGTGTCTTGGCCTGCACACGCGGAGAAGGGGGAAGGGAGAGTGCGGGGAACAGGGAGATGGGGGAGGGGGGAGAGGGGGGAACGGGGAGATGGGGGAGGGGGAAGATGAGGGAAGGAACACAGCTGCGTCCACCATCCCGCTGCTTCTCCCCTGGTGTCTTGGCCTGCACACGTGGCAGGGGGGAAGGAGAGGGAGGGAGGGAGAGAGGGCGGAAAGGGGAGAGGGCGGAAGAGGGAGAGGGTAGAAGGTGGAGATGGGGGAAACATAGGGGCAGTGGAATTTTAAGAGAGAAAAAGAAAAGTGATAAAATTAGACGCGATATCGCAGAGAGGTACATAGCAGAAAGAACGGCTTCGAAGCATCTAAAAAGTGCAAAATTGCTGACACAAGGATTCTTGGTAGAAAGCAGGGAGGCAGTCGAACGAGGTGACTTGGGTCGACTCAAATGGCTGGAGGCAGAGAGGCAGGGAGGCAGGGAGGCAGAGAGGCAGGGAGGCAGAGAGGCAGGGAGGCAGGGAGGCAGGGAGGCAGGGAGGCAGGGAGGCAGGGAGGCAGGGAGGCAGGGAGGCAGGGAGGCAGGGAGGCAGGGAGGCAGGGAGGCAGGGAGGCAGGGAGGCAGAGAGGAAGGGAGGCACCACAGGAGTACCTCGGTGGATGGAGACACGTGCAGATACAACGGACGGTCACGATTCTTCGGATCGTTTATGTTGCAGAACTTGCCCCTGAGGGTCAGGCGGACACACGCAACACAGGCAACAAGGTGACTTTTGAGTGATCAAAGGTCACCTCGCAACACAGGCAACATAATGAACAGCGGAGGGGCGAACCAGTCGGGTAGGAGAGAAAGAGAAGAAAGGGGATGTGGAGGAGGGGGGTGGGGGGGGGGGAGGAAGGAGGAGAGGGGGAGTGTAAAGGGCAAGGCGGAAGATACTGACAAGGGCGGACAAAGTGGCTGAAAGGGTGGGGGAAGGAAACAGGAAGGAAGCAGCGAAAGACGGAAGTGGGGATACGGAGATGGGGAAAAAAATCAAGACAGGAAGGGTTGATGAACGCGGGGGGAAGAAGAAGGGGGGTTGATGAAGAAAGGAGTGCCTCTACATCAATGGATAAAGCGGGTGCAGGAGGCAAAGGGCGGCTTTTGAGTCGACTCAAAAGAAAGGAGTGATGGATAAAGCGGGTGCAGGAGGCAAAGGGCGGCTTTTGAGTCGACTCAAAAGAAAGGAGTGATGGATAAAGCGGGTGCAGGAGGCAAAGGGCGGCTTTTGAGTCGACTCAAAAGAAAGGAGTGATGGATAAAGCGGGTGCAGGAGGCAAAGGGCGGCTTTTGAGTTGACTCAAAAGAAAGGAGTGATGGATAAAGCGGGTGCAGGAGGCAAAGGGCGGCTTTTGAGTCGACTCAAAAGAAAGGAGTGATGGATAAAGCGGGTGCAGGAGGCAAAGGGCGGCTTTTGAGTCGACTCAAAAGAAAGGAGTGATGGATAAAGCGGGTGCAGGAGGCAAAGGGCGGCGCAAATTGTCCTGCGCGTGTTTTTTGAGAATTCTAAAAAAAGGCGCAAATTGTCCTGAGCACCCCTTGGTTTGATAGGTTTGAAACAATCCCCTCCGCGCTCGATTGGTTTGACCTTCTGAGACGCGTCGGCAAACCGCATGGCAACACGTGTTGCAAAAGCACGGGCCATAGCCGAGACTAGCGGCGTACCTTGTGGAAATAACTGCGCCCGTCTTGCGGTGAATCTGCAGTTGGGGACAAACACGGTGGGAGGCGTAAGTGAGCGGCACAAATTAGGGTTTCGCAACGGGTGTCAACCAACGAGGCAGATCATAACTTTTGAGTCGACTCCTTAGTTAAGTGAACAGCACAAATCACGGTTCTGCGACGGGTGTCAAACAACGAGGCAGATCATAACTTTCGAGTCGACTCAATAGTTAAGTGAACAGCACAAATCAGGGTTTTGCGACGGGTGTCAACCAACGAGGCAGATCATGCGTGAGTGCCGAGACTACTCACATCGTCTTGAGTGCCGCGGCGCGTGAGCTGGTAACGCACGTTAGGGTTACACTCGTTAATCACCACCTCCTTAACAATCTCTTCCGCCGGCGGTTTTCCCGGCGGCCCAGCCGCCGCTGTTTCCGGCTTTCGCTGCACGCCTATCCCGCGCTTCGCTAACTCCTCGTTCACTTGCCGAGCCATCATCTCAGCCCTGGCCTTGGCGTCGTCCAGGTTCGGCATCGCCGAACCTGGAGCTGCCGAGCCAGCAGTAAGGCCCGGGACCTGGCCTGACATCATACCCGGCATTCCCAAGAGAGAAACACCGGTTGGAACGGGTTTACCCGCGGCTGCTAGCGACGCAGCGACGGCGGCTGCGGCGGCGATTGCGGCGGGGGAGGTTCCAGAGGGGATGGTGGAGAGCGCTGCGGCTGCTGCTGCTGCAGGATCTGCGGCTTGATCCCATTTGCTCCGCTTTCTGAGAGGTTGAGAGGACATCATAACGCGAAGACGAGAAGGAGGATAAAAGAAGAAGAAGAAAAAAAGGTCCGTTTAGGGAACAATAAGGAAAATAGAAGAAGAGGAAGATGAGCAAAGTGAACAAAGATCATAATTTGAAATGCAAATCCGGTTCATATGGAATAATCTTTCTGTGAAAAAAACGGCGAGAGCAGAAAGCAGGGCAAGGACAGAAATGTAAAAAAATCAGAAAACTGATCAAGTTAAAACCCCCATAAGAACGAAGTACGCACTTATCAGCGGAAGAATCCGCCATGGTGTGAGAAAGGAAGAAACTAGACACGATGTCAAGAGGAATAATAAGCCCAGAGGGTGGTCACATAACCGCGATGTAAAGTGAATCGTTTAACCATGTTGTCCTCCTTGCACCAGCGAAAATTTGTAAGTATAGGATGCATAATTTCAGCTCATCAGAAGTCGACGATAGCAGAATGCATTTCAGTGTACACCTTGAAGAACCACACAACGTTACACAAATGCATACTCGGTACAAGGCTGATGAGCTTGTGAACCACGCTTCGTGAACTCCAAGCAGATTTTTCGATTGCCACGCGGGAAACGACTCAGGTCTTTTCGTTAGCGAATCAGATGGCAAGGGCGGAGACATAAGCTTGGGGGGGAAGCTTGCCCGCTGCAATCAGGATGCAAATCCCTTCCATCTGTCGTTTACCTGTTGTCGTGTAGCACCGAGCAACGGCATGTTTGCTGTTTGTGGTCAGCTGATAAGTTGACTGTGACACGTGGTGAACAAGCGCCTTGACTTCGCGGCTTGTTGATAACACATCCGTTGCAGCAGAAGGAGGTTCTTGAAGTCAACCAATCGTGGTCCGGCACAAGGCTGCCCGTGAACCAAATGCTGGTGTGGCATGCCAAGGAAGCAGCAATTTTCAAGCCGGTCAGCCAAGCTTAGCAGCTCGAATCGCAGGGTATCAACTTTACATAATTTCCCGCGTAATTTCGCTGCCACTCCCCCTCTCAAACCGCCCGTCCTCTCACCAACAATCAACCATTTCCGCACGAAAACGCGAACCTTCCTACAACATTACGTCACATGGGGGACGACGATCATTCCGCCTCTCCAAACGAACCTCCGAAAACCGCCGTAAACCTTTCCGCCATCCCTCCTTCTCCAGTCCAGTTCCCCTGCTCGTTTTCCCCATGCCCCCGAGACATACCCGTTCCCCCGAGACTTTTCCCCATTCTCCCGAGACTTTCCCCCCAGGCTTTCCGATTTCCCCGACCAAACCTTCCATAACCATCTCCGCCAAGCGTCACTTGACACTCCCGTTTCACTTACGTATCTCCGCCCCGTCACTTCCCCTCCCTCCCCCCCATCCGTCACTCTCCCCTGCACTTATCCCTTAACTTGAGTCGCCTGCATTCGATGTACAAATAGAAGCAAGCTCCATTTGCTCCTCAACGTTCTTCACTTCACGTTTTTTATCTTGCAAAGTTCCAACCCATCACCCGCTCTGACGAACCACGTTCCTTTTCGCCTTACCTCTTCTCTGCTAAACTGACATCTCTCCGCCGAGACTGGCCGCTAGATGTCCTTTTAGCTGAGCAAGCAGGCAACTCTCCCCTCGCGGTTTTAATTTGACCTTTTCAACACGTCTTTCCAATGGCAACCGTTGGCAGTCAAGCTGCTTCCTCCTTCCACGGAGCGACCTTCGCCAATCCCCTCACTCACGACGTCAGCATCTTGAGATCCAACGCGGCGCTGGGCGACGCGCTGGCGACAGCGGAGCGAGCCATCGCAGGCCTCGCCCAGGTCGTCGACGTCGTCAAGCGTCGCCACTCCGCGCCGTCGCAGTTTCCTTCACTCGCCGCCCCTCCGCCGCCGTTCCATTTTTACCAGCCGCTGCCATTCCAAGCCAGCTATGTCCCGTGCGCCGCTCCTCTCCCCGCATGTGCCGGCGCATCTCCCGCGTCCTCTTCCGTCTCCCAGCATTCCGCCGCCCCCGCTCCGCAAGTCGCCATTCCGCGATCAAGCGCCGTTTCCGGCTCCAAGCGCCGCGCGGCGGCGCTCGCGACCACCTCGAGACCCGCGCCGCCGCGTGCGAAGCGCGCAAAGCGCGCCAAGCGCTCCGCAACACCTGAATCTGCTCCGCCCTCGCTCGTCCCGTCCAGCGGCTCCGACTGCGAGTCGGAGACAAGCGGCTCGTCGCCGTCGCCGCAAACTGAAGCTCCCGTCGCAGGGGCCGTCGCAGGAGCCGTCGCAGGGCCCGTCGCATACAAGGGCGTGCGACAGCGCAAGTGGGGCAAGTGGGTGTCGGAGATCCGCGAGCCCAACAAGCGCACGCGCATCTGGCTGGGATCCTTCGACTCGGCGGAAGACGCCGCGCGCGCCTACGACGTGGCGGCGCGGCTGCTGCGCGGATCCCAGGCTTCGCTCAACTTCCCCGGAGATCAATCCCACTCCGTTCCGCTTCCGTCCGCGACAGCGGAGGCGCTTCTGAAGGCGAGCCGCGAGGCGGCGAAGACGTTCGATACGGCTGAGGTTGCTGATGTGCTGGAGAAGTCGCTGCTTGCTACTAACGGAGCGCTTCTTGGCGCGGATATCACGATTCAGCTCCCGAAGGCCGGACCGGCGGAACCAGCTGCTACAGATGCGTCTGTAGCAGCAGCGGACGGCGCCGCTTCAGCGGAGGTCCCTTCCAACTCAGATCTCACCACTACCAGTGTGTTTGACGATATTCCCTCCGATTCGATCTCCGCCGTTGATGCCTTCTCCGCGCCTCTCCGCAGCGCCAGCCAAGTCAGCCTTGCCTACAGCGAGAGTGACAGTATCGAGTCGCTCCTGACGGATCTGGAGGAGCCGCACGGCGCTGAGCTGGCGCTGAAGGCTGAGCTGTCAGTCGACGAGGACAGCCTGTTCCACGGTGTCATGGAGGATTTTGACCTGGCAGCGGCTTGTGGGAGCGTTGAAGGATTTGAGGGTGCTGCTGACTTCAGCGTGGATCTGTGGGCGTGAGATAAACGCGTTTGGATGCGGAATTCAACAAACCTCGCTCCTAATCCAAGGGTCAAGATGAGTTGTGCCGTTAGGGTTTCGTAGATAGGGTTTGACTGATGGGTTGTGTGACATGTCCTAGGTCTCTCGGTCTGGGATGGTCTGTGTGTGGTTCATAAGGCCGTGCAGGGTATCATGTGGCTACTGGCTGAAGAGAATCATGGAGGGAGCACAGCCCGTGGCACGCGGATACTCTAGCGTCGCCTTCTTGCGGTCTTGTGCTGTGCTAGCTCTATGATTCCGGTCACATGATCCTCTGCATGATGTACCTTTTAGTGGAGTCCTTTAGTAAGGTTCTTTGATATCTATCCATCTCTGTTTCTTACGTGTGGCTTGTTCTCCATAATGCTACTGCATAATAGTACCTATCGCTTCTGAATTTATTTGTTGAATTGTACCTCGAGAATTATGGCAATCATGCGGATGCCCCTGGTGTTGCACTACCGAAACTCCCCAACACACTTCCCCTTCATTCGCGATCACGGCGAACGGTAACCAAAAACGGAAATGTAACGCTCATCACGCTCGTTCTACACGGACGGGCCACGTCAATGGGCCTGATTGCGCTGCCACCAGAAAATTGACCGAACCGAACCCAACGCAACCACGATGTTACAGAATGCATTCCACCAGCTCCTCCCAAACCACCATTCGCACCAATCACACGCAAGCAAAGCGGTCAGCATGGATAGGCCTGACCGGGGGGCAGGGGCAAAAATACGGTACAGTACATCGTGTACTGTACAGTTCTTAAATATCGTGCACTGTACCTAAACATCGTAAGGCTGTCGGCTGTCGGCTGTGTGGTCGTGCATTGCACAGCACTGTACTTGTTCTCGCGTAACTCCCCTCCCCTCTGCTCCTCTCACCCCTCCCTCTCAACTCAACTCCAAATACCAGCCCCAGATTCCTTGGCTCCTTCTCTCCTCCTCACCCCACCCGCAGTTGCCATAGTTGCTAGACTTTACAAGTCTGGTTCGCGACTCGAGTCCAACGGGAATGTTGAGTGCATAGCAGTAATGAATGCAGTATCAGGAGCAACGAGCTGACGACGGCGGAGTTCAACCCAGTGCCGCTGCTGCCTGCCTTGCGATCAACCCAGCGCCGCTGTTGCCTTCCTTGCGATCGTATCATAATGGCGCAAGCGGCGCAATGCTCTTGCGATCAACTTACAACGTAAAGTTTGACAGACTTGGCGTCATTCGCGAACCATCATTCGCGATCAACTGCGACAGGTTCCCCTAGACACAACACCTGACTCGACTGGTAACATATACCAGCGAATTGCGTAGTTCTCGCTAACAGAGTACTCGCTATGGTTGCGCGAAACCAGGGGCGGGCGGGCGCCGCAGGCACCGCGGGTAACGCGGAGAACAATCAGCAGAGATCTCCTCAGGAGATTCCTCACACCATCTTACGCTCCATGATGACGTCAGCGGCGCCGCATTCACAGGTTCCTACTAGCGTTGCTCCCGCCTTAGATCTGGCCAGCGCTAGTAGCATTCTCGCGCTCCTTAATCCGGACCTTGCGGCGGCGCGGCTCAGGGGAATGGCGCAAGCTGGTAGCGGCGGTACTGGCGGCGGCATTAGCGGCGGTACGAACGGCGGTATCCGCAGTAGCGGAGCAGGGCAAGATCTGGGCTCAGCAGGTGGTTCGCTTCCAGTGCCAGCGGCGGCACGAGCTGCGCCGCATCCGGCGCCGTCAGTTCCGCCGCCGCGCCCGCCAGCGGCGGTCTGGCCGGCGGCTCAGCAAATCGGGACGCATCTGACGGCTAGCTGGGGAAACATGGGGCTCGAGACGGGCAATGCACTCGTTATAAGCAATCGCGGTTCCGTTATAAGCATACCTGGTGGTAGTAACGGGGATAGGTCTTTGGGGAGTGGCGATACCCAATGTGGCACGTGGGCCTTGGGGCAGGTAGGTTTGTCCGCTGGAAATAGCGGTAGAACTTTCCAAACTAATCAGCCAGCTGCACAGGCGTTACTCGGTCAGGTGAATTCTCAGAATCATCAGGTGCCTGTTCCGCGCCCTCTTTCAGAGTTGCTTCTGGCCCAGTATCTTCTGGGTCAGCAGCAGCAGCAGCAGCAGCAGCAGCAGCAGCAGCAGCAGCAGCAGCAGCAGCAGCAGCAGCAGCAGCAGCAGCAGCAGCAGCAGCAGCAGCAGCAGCAGCAGCAGCAGCAGCAGCAGCAGCAGCAGCAGCAGCAGCAGCAGCAGCAGCAGCAGCAGCTGCAGCAGCAGCAGCAGCAGCAGCAGCAGCAGCAGCAGCAGCAGCAGCAGCAGCAGCAGCAGCAGCAGCAGCAGCAGCAGCCTCTAGGCAGTAGATTAGATTCGCCCAGCCTACCTTACCCCGGCACCAGCACCACAGCAGCAGTGAATTCGACAAATCTTGTCGCCCGCGTGGTTTACAGAACCCCCTCTGGCACGAGCAGCGGCACTAGAGGCGGCAGTGCGGTGCAAATGAGTGGAAGTGCGGTGCAGATGAGCTTAGGCAACCCGTCCCTCACGTTACAGTCACAGCTCAGCCCCATGTCTGGTAACTTGTCCCACTCGTTACAATCACAGCCCAGCCCCATGTCAGTGGGAGCAGTGTTTGACGCGCCACAGCGCTTGATACAGTCACAACCCAGCCCCATGTCCGTGGCAGCAGCGTTTGACGCGCCTCAACGCTCGTTACAGTCACAACGCAGCCCCATGTCCCTTTCAGCTGCAGACTATCTTGATCTCGCTGCGTGCGCCTCTCTTCCCCAAGCCAGCAGCCCTTCCCTCTCCTCCCAGCCGCCACTGCCGCGCGCCACCACAGTAGGAGTAGGAGCAGGAGGAGGGGTAGAAGGAGTAGGAAGCAGGCTCGGCATGGGTGTGGGGAAAGGGGTGGCTGTGGTCGCTGGTAGGTCTGCGTCAGCAGAAGGCTTGCGTCCGTTGAGTATGTATGCCGGGGGAGGAACAGCCGCTGTTGGAGTGATGCCAGCAGTAGCGTTGCCAGCAGCGGCAATGCCAGTGCCAACAGCAGCAGTGGGAACAGAAGTGGCAGCGGAAGGCATGCGTCCGTTGAGCATGTATGCTGGGGGAGGAGCAGCTGGGGGAGCAATGCCAGCAGCAGCGCCAGGAACCGCGATGCCATTAGCATCAGTGGCAGCAGCAATGCCAGCAGGAGGCATGCGTCCGTTGGGTATGGTTGGTGGGGCGGAAACAGCAGCAGGGGCATTAGCAGGCGGAGTGTCAGCAGCAGCAGCAGTGCCATTAGTCGGGGTAGCTCCAACAGCGGCAGCAATGCCAGCAGAAGCAGCTGGGGCAGCGGAAGTGGAGTCACTAGAGGCTCTAGAACGGCTTCTGAATCTTGACTCCGCTTCTGTGCCCCTTACATCTTCTCTTCATGCGCCTTCGGGAAATTCCCAGAATGCTGCAAGGTCGAGTGAGCAGATGCGAGAGCAGGTATTGGATTTGGACTCGGCTGCTGCGCTGCTGGGACGAGTGGAGCGGCTGAGAGCGCAACTGGTGGAGAGGAAACGGCTGCTTGAACAGCAATCGATGCAGCAGCAGCAGCAGCAGCAGCAGCAGCAGCAGCAGCAGCAGCAGCAGCAACAACAGCAACAGCAGCAACAGCAGCAACAGCAGCAACAGCAGCAACAACAGCAGCAGCAGCAACAACAGCAACAGCAGCAACAGCAGCAACAACAGCAATATCAGGAACAACAGCAACAGCAGCATCATCACTTTCAGCAGCAGCAGCAGCATCAAGGACAACAGCAACAGCCGTGGCAGCAACAGCAGGAGCAGCAGCAACAAGAGCAGCAGCAACAAGAGCAGGGCGATATGTTTCTCCAGCAGCTGCAGCAGTTGCAACAGAGAGACCTGCAGGCGCTGCTGCTAATGCACCTGCAGAAAGAGATGCTGGAGCAGCAGAAACGTGTGCACGCACAGGGGCAGGAGCAGGGGCAGGGGCAGGGGCAGGGGCAGGGGCAGGGGCAGGGGCAGGGGCAGGGGCAGGGGCAGGGGCAGGGGCAGGGGCAGGGGCAGGGGCAGGGGCAGGGGCAGGGGCAGGGGCAGGGGCAGGGGCAAGCACATGGGCAAGCGCAGGGGCAGGGGCAGGGGCAAGGACTGGGCCAGGGGCAAAGGGATGGCATCATGCAGCAGGCACAGATACCGCTACAGCAATCAGTTCAGCTACAGCCGTCACAGCATCACATGCAGCAGCAGGCTCAGTTACAGGCTCAGCTACAGCCGTCACAGCAGCAGGTTCAGCTACAGGCTCAGCTACAGCCGTCACAGCAGCAGGTGCAGCAACAGGCTCAGCTACAGCCGTCACAGCAGCAGGTGCAGCAACAGCCACCTGAGCAGCAGCAGATGCCGACACCGCAGACACTGGCAGATCTGCAGCGAATGCTATTGGCGGGAGGGTTGAACACTCCCCTTCAAGCATCCTTGCAGCAGCTGCAGCAACGGCTACAGCTGCAGTCACGGGTACAGCCGCCACAGTCACAAACACTACTACAACCACAGCCACAGCCACAGCCACAGTTACAACAACAGCTGCAGCCACAGGTACAGAATCAGATTGTAGCAGGGCATGGGGTGACCCGTGCAGGAAGAGGTGAAGGGGGATTGGGATCTGAAGCAAGCGGAGAACCTGAGGCAGGATCTATGGCAGGACTGGCAGTGCAGATGCTACCTGTTGGGTCACCAGCAGCAGCAGCAACAACAGCAGGAACACCACCACCAGGAGCAGCAGCAGCAGCAGCAGCAGGAGCTGTTGCAATGCCAGCAGCACCAACAGCAGCAGCAGCTTTTGCAATCCCACCATCGGCAGCAGAATCACTGCCAGCAGCAGCAACAGCAGGGATTATTTATACAGGAGGAAGCCCAGCGTCCACCGGGCAAATCACGCGAGCAGCAGCAGATGCAATGGAGTGGAACAGCCCAATCCATAGCGCAGTATCCCAATCCCTAGCAGTGGCATCACCTTCGAGTTTTGAGGCGCCTCAAAACCCAATCCGTAGCATTATACTTTCGGCAGTGGCATTGCCTCCACAGGCTATGAGTCTCAGTGCTGGCGAGTTGCCTCCCAACACAGCAGCAGCAGCAGCAGCAGCAGCAGCAGGAGGAGGAGCAGGAGCAGGAGCAGGAGCAGTGGTGTCAGCAGCAGCGCCAAGGGCTATGAGTCTTAGTGCTGGCGAGGTCCCACTCAACACAGCAGCTGCAGCAGAGGCATCGGTGCCGGGTGTTTTGAGCCTGAGTGGGGGTGAGCTGCCGCCGAACCTGGCAGCAGCAGTGGCATCCGGAGCAGCAGGAAGAGGAGTGGTGGCAGCAGCAGAGGCATCAGTGCCGGGGGTGTTGAGCCTGAGTGGGGGTGAACTGCCGCCGAACCTGGCAGCAGCAGTGGAGGAATTGCAGCGAGTTCTGGCGTCCTCCCACCAGCAGCAGCTGCTTCTGCATCGGCCCCAGCAACACACACAGGAGCAACAGCAGCAGACACCACAGCAGCAGCAAATGGAGCAGCAGCAGATACAGCAGGGGCATGAGGACAGACAGAGGGCAGTGCAGATGGAAGGGGGGGAGAATGGAGGGGGCGTGGGTGGGTTCGGTGTGATTGTAAACGAGGAGGGTCTATCGAAGGGCACGTGGTTACCAGAGGAGGATCGGGTGCTGATGGAGTATGTGGAGTGTTACGGGGCGAAGAACTGGGGTAACCTGGTAACCAGGGGGCTGCTGAGACGCTCTGGGAAGAGTTGCAGGCTGCGATGGGTGAACCAGCTGAAGCCGGGCCTGCAGGTAAGGGATGAGTCGAACCAGGTCTTTGAGCGAGGGGTCTATCATTGACCTAGACCACCACCATGCTTGTTATGACCAGGTGAGGAAAGGTAATCTAGAGGGGGAATTTTTTTCTTGAGTCGCTCCCATGCTGTCTATCTGGCTGCTTTGCAGCTCTGTGCGAAGGATCTCAGCTTATTTGAGGCCCCAAAAATTTTGTAAGTTTCTCAAATGCTAAAAGAAAACTTACAAAAGCTTTTTGGCCTCAAATAAGCTGACATCCTCCACACAGAGCTGCAAAGCAGCCAGATAGGCAGCATGGAAGCAATCCAAGAAGGAACTTCTCCTCAAGACCCCTCACTCAAGCTACTCCCAACATCACCTGGACGTTGAAGTGTTGATTAAATTGCAGTGTTCTTTTCCCACCCAATGTCTCAATGGATGCTGCTGAATTGGCTACAACCTGTCCTCCTCCCATCAGCTTCCCTCTTTGCTCATTCCTTTGTGCCCCTTCCGCCCTTCGTTTGCAGAGGTACGGTGGCAAGGGCTGCAAGCGGTTCACAGAGCAGGAGTCCAATACAGTGCTGGCGCTGCAGGTAATGCACTTGTGATGTGAGGCGGTGTTCATATGCTGGGCGTGCAGTGCATTTAACCCTGTGCTCGCTCTGCATGTGATGATAATCTACTGCTCTTTCGCTCTCAATCACACACCTGCCTGCACAGGTGAATGACGCCCACAGGCCTTCTTCCGTCTCTCGCTTTTCCCTTCACACGCCTTCTCCACCATCTCCGGTCCCCCTTCTCCCATGGCCTACCACCACCAGGAGACTATGGGCAACAAGTGGGCGGCGATCGCGAGGCACCTGCCGGGGCGGACGGACAACGATGTGAAGAACTTTTGGAACCTGCACCTCAAGCGCATGGAGCGGCTGCGACGGCAGAGGGAGCAGAAAGGGACCCACGTTGGTAGTAAAAGTGATGCTGGTGGCGGCGGTGGCAATGCTGCTGCTGAGAGTGAGGAGGCTGCTGCTAGTGGCAGTGCTGCTGCAGGTGCTGCTGTTGCTGGTGGTTCTGGTGCTGGTGGTGCTGGTAGTAAAAGTGATGCTGGTGCTGCTGCTGCTGCTGCTGGAAATGGCGACGCCTGTGCTTCTTCTGGTGTTTCCCCCGCTGGCAATGCTGCAGTTTCTGCTCCTGCTGGTGCTGCCGCTGCTACTGCTGCTGCTGTTGCCAGTGCTGTGGCAGGCCCATCAGCTAGGAATACAGGAGATGCGACCACTAAAGGTGCTGCAGGCGCAGGGAACGGTGCTGAGAGTGGTGCTGGGGCCACTGAAGACAGATATTGCCGTTTAAGAAGCAGGGGCTCAGAAGGTGTGGGGGAGCAGGAGGCAGTAAAGGATTGTGGGACAGCAGCCGAGGGAGTATCAGCAGGGGGGGATGTAGCAGCAAGCGTAGAAAACGCAGCAGCAGCAGCAGCAGCAGCAGCAGCAGCAATGACAGGAAAAATGACCATGCAGGGCAGGAGCAGCAGCAGCGGAAGCATTGCCGTGATTGAGAGCACGAGCCTGCCTCCCTCCTTCCTCTTCTCCCCGAGCTCCTTCACCTGCCCCATGTCCATTAGTCCACTGCCCACCATCCAGGAGGGCCCTGACGCCCCTGCCGCCCCTGATGCCTTGCACACCCGAGAAAGGCTGGATGTTGTTGCTCAGATGCATGGCAATGGGGGGAAGGTGCAAGGAGGTGTGCTCTCTGATGCCCCAGTGGAGAGACGCGTGGTTGCGGCTGCTATTGGTGGTGGTGATGCTGCAGGTGAGGGCCCCTCGGTCCAGCTGCAGCAGCCGCAGCAGCAGAACCAACAGCAGAAGGAACAACAGCATCAGCAGCAGCGGCAACAACACCAGCACCAGCAACGGCAACAGCAACAGCAACAGCAGCAGCAACAGCAACAGCAGCAGGAACAGCCACAGCGAAGCCAGCAGCAACAGCACCAGCAGCACCAGCAACTACAGCAGCAGCAAAACCAACAGCAGCAAAACCCACAGCAACAGCAACAGCAACAGCAACAGCAACAGCAACAGCAACAGCAACAGCAACAGCAGCAGCAGCAGCAGCAGCAATATCAATTTCAGCAGCAGCAGCAGCAGCAGCAGCAATATCAATTTCAGCAGCAGCAGCAGCTACAACAGCCGCCAGCTCAGGCATTCCCTGAGGCGCCCCAGAAGCTCAGGCACAGCCAGAGGACCATTCGGCAGCCCCCACTACCCCCTCCAGAGAAGCAGCTTCACCAGCCGCCAGCGCAGGTGCCAGCATCAGCTGTGGCACGGCCGCAGGCAGTGAGGCGCAGCAGGACAGGGGAGCAGCGGCCTAAGGTATCTCTGCACCAGCGGCGGCTCCAGAGAAACGCCTCTGCTAGTGCCGTGGCTGGAGGTTGGAGCAGTGAGACGGCTGGTAGTGGTGCTAGCGGTGCTAGTGGTGGGAGTGGTGGGAGCGGTGCTAGTGGTGGGAGTGGTGGGAGCGGTGCTAGTGGTGGGAGTGGTGGGAGTGGTGGGAGTGGTGGGAGTGGTGGGAGTGGTGCAGGTTTTGGGGTATCTGTGAGTGGTGGGGAGGATGGTGGTGTGAGGGAGGGCGGGGAAGGAGGAGGGGAGCAGCGGGTGCTGCGAGCGAGCAGTCTCCCGAATGTACCCAGAGCTGGCAGCTGGAGGGACGGTGGAAGCTTTGGAGGGGCCGATGGAGGGAGGTGGACGATGGGAGATGCTGCAGCAGCTGCTGTGGCAGCTGTGGGTGATTGTCAGCAGGATGAATCAGCTGTTGCCTCTTCTGGTGCCGGTGCGGCAGTTGCGGCTGATCCTGCTCTAGTTCCTGTTGCTGCTGCCGCCGCTGCCAACACAACATGTCATGATCCCACCTCTCTGGCGGCCAGTGATAGCACTTTAAAGTATTCCAGTCCACCTGCACATCAGCCGCCTGTGCCTGCTGCGGGAAATATCCAACAACCGAAGCATACGTCAGAACCTTCAACCGCTCAAGAACGCTCAAACTCTCCTGACGCTGCACCTCCTGGTACTGCACCGTTAGACTCTGCAGTCAGAGCCGTAGGCTCTGCACCCGGAGGAGCTCCTGATGCTGCTGCCAGTAGCTGTGGCGCTGGCGCTAGTGTTGGTGCTGATGGCACTGCTGCTGGTGCCGCTGCTGCTGGTGCTGGTGCTGGTGGTGCTGGTAATGCCGGTGATATTGCTGCTGCTGGCGCTGCTGCAGCGGATGGGAATGGAGGTGCTGCTGGTGCAGCGGGGTCAGCAGATGGGCCAGCAGCAATGGACATGGAGGACAGTGCAGAGAAGATCTCCTCCCTCAAGATCGGTGAGTGGGTGCCTCTTCTAGAATCAATTGTGAAAAATCTCAAGAGTGGGCCGGCAGCAATGGATATGGAGGACAGTGCAGAGAAGATCTCCTCCCTCAAGATCGGTGAGTCTGTTTCATCTGCCTCTTTTTGAGTCACTTTTGGAGTCACTTTTGGGAATTCTCAGCATATGGGCCAGCAGCAATGGACACAGAGGACAGTGCAGAGAAGATTTCCTCCCTCAAGATTGGTGAGTCTATTTCATCTGCAGGCTGGCGTTGCCTTTGTATACACCAAGTCCTATCGTTTGCCGCCCCTCTGCTCCCTCCTTCGTCCTTCCCTCCCTTCGTCTCACACCCCTTTGACCCTCCTCCCTCCTCTCCTGTTCCCTCCCCTTCTGCACACCCCCCCTCCCCTCTCCCCTCACGCAGACTGTCAAAAGCCTGCCAGCAGCAACACCAGCAGCGGCGCAGCAGCCTCTGGCGAGTTTCTCAACATAGAGGACTGGCTGCAAACCCCCACTCCGCCCCCTCACCTCCCATCCATCTGACCCGCCTCTGCATTCTTCCCTCTGCCTTCCCTCCTGTTCCCTTTCCCCCTGCGCCTTCCCCGCCCTCTCCCCTCCCACAGACTGCCACAAGCCTGCCAGCAGCAACACCAGCAGCGGCGCAGCAGCCTCTGGCGAGTTTCTCAACATAGAGGACTGGCTGCAAACCCCCACTCCCCCCGCTCACCTCCCATCCATCTGACCCGCCTCTGCATTCATCCCTCTGCTTTCCCTCCTGTTCCCTTTCCCCCTGTGGCTTGCCCTCCCTCTCCCCTCCCACAGACTGCCACAAGCCTGCCAGCAGCAACACCAGCAGCGGAGCAGCAGCCTCTGGCGAGTTTCTCAACATAGAGGACTGGCTGCAAACCCCCACTCCCCCCCCTCGCCGCACCCCCTGCTCGCCTTTCTACATCAACCTCTCCCCCTCCGCCCGCCGCCTACGCTCGCCCCGCTCCCCCTCCCCCCGCACGGTTGCTCAGCAGCAGCAGCACCCACCCGCCTCCCCCCGCCCGCTCGCCTCGTGGTTCTCCCCCCGATCGGAACGCCTCCCTCCCCGCTCCCACTCCCATTCGCACTCGCACTCTCACGGTCACTCCCACTCACATGCTCACTCTCACAATCACTCTCATGGTCACGCTTACTCGCATGGAAGGGCGGCTCTGCCTCCCCAGAGCAGCCGGGGCAACCGAAGCAGCAGCAGCAGCAGTGGCAGTGGCAGCGGTGCCAGTGGTGGTGCTGGCAGTGGTAACGGCGATGGTGCTGCTGCTGGTGCTGGTGCTGCTGCCACTGGTAGTGGTGGTGGCAGTGGCAGTGCTGGTAATTCTGGCAGTGATGGCAGTGCTGGGAGCGGCGGCAGCGGTGGTTCTGCCACAGCTCCCAGCAACACCAAGGCACACCCCATCTCAGGAAACCCAACCTCCCACCACTCTGCCCTATCAGAGCACTCAGCCCCGACAGACTACTCAACTCCAGCAATCCCACTTCCCGACTCGAGTCCCTCTGTCACCCACATTGCTGCCCGAGCTTTCGGCGAATCAGCAAGTCAGCGCAGCGGGCGGCGAAGTCCTCTGGGAGCGCTCAAAATCGCCCACCGGTCGGGGTATCTCTGGTCCCCCCGAGCTGCCCATTCCCCCCGTGCCGCCCATTCCCCCCGCGCCACCCACAACTCCTCCTCCTCCTCCCCTTCCCCCAGGCCTGGCGGGTCTGGCAGCGCCCTCTCCTCCCCTTCCCCCCGCAGCATGCTCTCCCCCTCTCCCCGCCCCTCCCCCCGGAGCGGATTACCATCCCCTTCCCCCCGCGGCCTGGCATCCCCCTCCCCTCGCTCAGTGCACTCCCCGTCCCCACGAGCCTATGGCAGAACAGGACTCGCTCTTCCTTCTCCTCCTGCTCACCCCTCCTCCTCGGGTCCTCCCCCCCACCCGTCCTCCTCACGCCCTGCCCGGTCTCGAAGCAGCAGCCCCTGCCCACGTCTGCCCAACAGCCCACTGCATCCCCGTGGAAATGCGGGTGCTGTTGCTGCTGCAGGTGCTGCTGCCTCCCATCCGCCTGCTGCTCCGTCTTGTCTTGGAGTGCATGCGCCCAGTGCAAGTGCAAGTACCAGCGCCAGCGCAAACGCTAGTGCAGGTGCAAGGGAGAGAGAAAGAGGTGATGGTGGATACGGGCAAGGTGACATGGGAAGTTGTGGAACCACCGTGTGTGCTCCACTTGATTCTGATGCTGGAAACCACACTCCACTGTCCGGTGACCCAGTTCGCCCCATTGCCCAAGATGACCCAGTTGACCCAGTTGACCCAGCTGACCCAGTTGACCCAGTTACCTCAGTTGATCCAGACTCAGAGAATCGTCAGCCTCAGCCTCAGCAGCAGCAGCAACAGCATTTGCAGCAGGGGATGGAGCAGCAGCAGGAGCAGCAGCAACAGAGGAAGGAGCAGGTGTCAGAAGAATTACGGGAGGGGAAACGGCAGCAGCAGCAGGTACCACAGAGAGTGGTGCAGCAGGTGTTACCATCCACTGCGGAGCCAGAGCCAGTCCTGCCGGCATACTCCAGCCAATCACTGTGGGGCTTCGTAGCAGAGATCGGCGGCCCAGATGCGTTCGCTGGAGGCGTAGGCACAGAGGTGGATGATGCTGCTAGCGGCGGGGGTTTTCAGGAATCGCTGTCAATGGCTGCAGGACAGGGGCAGACAACCGCATCCCTTGACATGCATGATATCGAGCAGCTCCTTATGGGGGATGACTGTGCTGCTGACATGTCCGGATGCGATTGGCCCAGCAGCGCTGGAAACCCTGGGCTGGGGAGGACTGGGCCTGGAGGGACTACAGAAGTTGGAGGGGTTGGAGGAATACATGATCACGGAGGAGTAGCAGAAGCTGCAGTAGGAGGGACAGCTGGAGCAGTAGCAACGCCTCTGGGTGAAACATCTACGGCTGGGGATGTGGCAGATGTGAGTGCAGTGGGGCATCTGCTCTTTGACGATTCGTCAGCCATGCAGCAGCTGAGCGCTGATTGGCTGACTGATTTCCAGAGGAGCAATTACGCTGCCTTCACCCCTGACAACGGGGCTGCTCTGGTGCCTGGGGCAACGGCTGTAGCACAGCAAGCAGCCCTGCCATCAGCTGAGCATGCAACTGGAATGCCATCATCAGGGGGGGCACCCTCTGTGCCGGTGCAGCAGGGGGTGTGGCAACTTGGAGCGGCTAAAGGCAGGCAACTCGGTCAAGATGGGTCTGCTGGTGGAGGAGGAGAATAGCACTGGGGTCAGGGCTTTGTTCCTTGAAATGTCATGGACATGTGTCAGATCTTTTGGTGAAGTGAATTTTTTTGAAAGTGTGTAACACTTTCTAAAAATATGTGTTGCTGATGCAAGCATCATTTGATTCAGGACAAGAATTGTCTAGTCCTTGATCCTGCAGGAAGTGAGAAATCATTGTTGCACATTAGGTCACCTTGAGGTGTAAGGGGGGGCTTTTGTTCAGCTGTTCAATCTTGCTTTTTCATAGTACCGCATCTTTCCATTCCACAATGGAGTTACAATGTAGAACAGGCCAGGAGGCCTTGGAAGCTGTGGTTCTGGCCATGTTGGTTGCTCTTCAGAACCCAATCACTGCATGCAGAGGGAGTGAATTAGGCACTAAGAACAGGACAGACAGTACATCAACATAAGCTATCGATACCAAAATGGCCGATACCAAGCCCCACGCCTCCCTGGCGACAGGCAGGAGGACAGCAGAGGCGGAACAGTAGCAGCAGCAGCACAGTGAGCCAGGAGGTTTAGATAATGCCGATCTTGTTGGCAATGTCCAGAGCATCGTAGTCTGCTGTGAGCCGCACGTACGCCTTCTTCTGTCCGTCAGGCCTGCCACGAGTCAAAAGGTTGGGGTGACGAGAGTTTGGGGAAGATTTTTTAGGTGCCTCAAAAAGAGGTTTAGATGATGCCAATCTTGTTGGCAATGTCCAGCGCATCGTAGTCTGCTGCCAGCCGCAGGAAATTAAAATGTCAGATGGTGGGAATACGTCATTCATGCTGCCAGTCCAAACAAGTCCTGATTATGTCTCATTTTGCCCCTTAAAGCAGCTTCAATCTCCTCCAGTGTACTGGTGCTCAAGCTATCAGAATAATCTCCTGAGTTTCCTCCATCAGTGAGCCTCATGGGGATAAGAAAAAAATCCCGAGGAAAACGACTTACCTGATGAGTGTGTTGATCTTCTTGCACTGGATGTCGTACATCTTCCTGACGGCCTCCTTGATCTGCCTCTTAGTGGCCAGCAGATCCACAATGAACACCAGCGTGTTGTTGTCCTCAATCTTCTTCATCGCTGACTCAGTCGTCAGCGGGAACTTCAGCACCTGCGAGGACGAGTCACCAAAAAAGTAATGAAGGGATATGGTACAAAAATGTCAGCAATGTACAATGTTGTGCTTGCTCAATCTTTTTCATCGCCGACTCTGTCGTCTAAGGGAACTTCAGCATCTGCAAGAACCGAGTAATTAGCGGGTTGATGACAAAGGTAAGAAAACGTCAGCATCGTGACAACATTGTTATCACTCTTTTTCTCCATCCCCTTCTCCGTGGTCAGAAGGACCTTCAGCACCTGGTAGCACGGGAAATCAACGAGAAACTTCGGCACGAAAATGTCAGCCACATAAAACTTGGCTGCATCCCGCATTCTCGTAAGTTACTCTTTTGTCAGCATATGCACCGTGACACGGGGTTATCTGCACTCAGAAATGGCTCTGAAAGTCCCCTTGAAAAAGCGGGTCTCAGGATCTCTCTAACTAGCCGTTTGATGAAGTCTCTGACAAGTCGTCCGGAAAATCTACCGAGTCCTTCTGAGAAGCCGTGTGAGTCAGCAACTCGGAATGCCTTTGACTGGGTTTTCAAAATGATGCTCCGAAGAACTTTCTGACACGGGGTTGAGAATATCTACGGTCTTCAGATACTTCTGATTCGTCACTCGCAGCGATTGGATTGTTCTGGCTATTCTTCAAGAACCTAGAATCGCGGAATCTCGTGGACAGGTTGGCCAGATGTCTACGCTATCGCCACCAATGAAACGACACCATCAGATGACCCATTGAGGACGAATTTACCGACTAGCATGAATTCAACCAGCTAGACAGTGACGGTCCTTCCAGGAACACCAGCGCCTACTCCTGATCGTCGTAGAACTTCTCGTGATGAGAGCGGATGGTAGCGATCTCCATCTGCTAATCAAACGGTCATCGTCAGCAACACGTAGCGCCATGCGTGCGATAAGAATCCACTAACCATCTGTCGCTTAGCATCTCCAAAGTGGACCGTAATCTGACTGAAGAAGGCTGGCTCGTCCACCACTGACCTGCTTCCCCCATTTAAACGTTCAGCACGATAGGTACCAAAAGACAATACGCAAACAGAAACGGAGGCTCGTGCAACGAGCACTTATCGAGCTTCTGCATGGGAAGAGCCGAGATCCTGGGGTACTTGGAGCTCCCAGACTTTTTCAAGGATTTTTTTGCCGACTTAGAAGCACGCAAAATTAACACACAAACAAACGCGAAAACTTACTCACCCGGAACTGGTCGAGCTTCTGCATGGGAGGAGCCGAGATTCTGGGGTACTTGGGGCTGCGAGCCTTCTTCAGGGTCTTGGGCCGGTGGAAGTGCACGGACGTCCGGACCTTGAGGATCTTCTTCCGGCTCGTCTTCTTCAGGGCCTTCGCGGCCTTTGCGGCTTGTGCCTTGGCATCGGGCTTGCCTGGTGAAGGAAAGGGTGATAGAGCCACCAGAAAGGTTGACCAATACGGGGAAAACGTGCTTTGATTAAAGACTATTTCGCATAACACTGACGCACGCAATGTGAACCAGTCGGATCGATGATGACAACGGACGGTACGAGCGGTATCTGTTTCGTCAAACCTAATATATGCCGCGAATTCTAAGAAAAAACTCCGGGAGGAAAAATCACGCGCGAATCGCATCAACGACCACCTTCAAGGGTCACGGAAACACCAGCTGGCTGTAAGAAACCCTAATCCAATGGCTGGTCACATTCTGCTACACTTTGGACCTAATTTTCCACCATGACGACTCCACAGAGCTATCATAACCCCGGAACGAAACTGGAAACATCAAACTCTACGACGCGTAACACTGTCGCGCCCTCACCTTTGGGCGCCATGGCTACTTCTGCGACTAGACGGTGTGGGAGTTACAAGAGAAGGGACCACCCCAGGGCGAAAGGAAGGTGGAAGAGGTGAGAGACAGGGCTTTGAAAACGTTAGCAACCAAGTCCAGTCAGAGGGGCGCAAGCGAAACAGTTCCCAAGGGAAGCAGGTGCGGGGAAACCAAGGAATAAAAAATGTTATCGAATACAGTCCCGAAAGAAGCTGAAATGTCCAGAGCAGAAACGAGAAGTGGCGTACCGAGGATATTACTCGCTCGGGAATTTGGGATTTGCGGATGGGCTCCGCGTCCCTGCAGCAATAAGGTGAAATAACGGCAAAACAAATGAGCACAGTTAAGTACACTAACGATAGAATACATCAACAAAGACCACTTATGTAAGTCAGCTTGCACACAAAGAACGCACATAAGCCGGAAATTCATGTTGCCCTTTTTGTTCGGGTTAGGATACATCATTGCATTGTACTTATACCTAAGCAGCAAGAACGGCTGCAAGATCTTCTGACTTCCCTCGCACATAAATGGTGTACACCAGGCGAATTGCATCCACCCAAGCATCCATCGAATCCCAGTCGTCCGCCACCTGCGAGCACAGAAATAAAACAGTGGCCATGAGAAAACACACACAAGCTACCAGAATTGGACATATTCCACAACTTACTGACGCATACAACATTGGGCTGCACTCACCATGTAAAAAGGTCCATCTACAGTGTCCAGCACAATGCCTCCTCCAGCTGGCAGGCTGAGATCAGCACAAGCCTCCACTGACACAATCTGGCCGATTTCCACTTGAATCGGTGGAGGCGGCAACGCAGAAACTCCATCCTCCACACTAGAGGACAAGTTAGGCCGCCCACCCACGGCATCAGACGACCACTGTCCCCCATCTGAACTGCGCTGATTGGCTGAACCAGCAGCAGCTGAACCAGGGGTTGCAGGGTTGGCAGGCGTGGCAGGAGTGGCAGCAGAAGGCGGAGAAGGCTCGGCCTTTTGGACGATCGAAGCTGTTACGGAGGTCTGGGAGTGGGCTGTGTTGCGGCGGGAGGTCAGGTTGCTGTGGGGTTGCTTAGGCTCGGGCTTCTTGCCCTAGAGGTATTGAGAGGGGAGATTGGGGAGAGTGAGGGGAGAAAACATTTGGGTCAGGCGACAAGTGAAAGGCTCAGGCTTCTTGCCCTAGAGGCATTGAGAGGGGAGATTGGGGAGAGTGAGGGGAGAAAACATTTGGGTCAGGCGACAAGTGAAAGGCTCAGGCTTCTTGCCCTAGAGGCATTGAGAGGGGAGATTGGGGAGGGTGAGGGGAGAAAACATTTGGGTCAGGCGACAAGTGAAAGGCTCAGGCTTCTTGCCCTAGAGGCATTGAGAGGGGAGATTGGGGAGAGTGAGGGGAGAAAACATTTGGGTCAGGCGACAAGTGAAAGGCTCAGGCTTCTTGCCCTAGAGGTATTGAGAGGGGAGATTGGGGAGAGTGAGGGGAGAAAACATTTGGGTCAGGCGACAAGTGAAAGGCTCAGGCTTCTTGCCCTAGAGGCATTGAGAGGGGAGATTGGGGAGAGTGAGGGGAGAAAACATTTGGGTCAGGCGACAAGTGAAAGGCTCAGGCTTCTTGCCCTAGAGGCATTGAGAGGGGAGATTGGGGAGAGTGAGGGGAGAAAACATTTGGGTCAGGCGACAAGTGAAAGGCTCAGGCTTCTTGCCCTAGAGGCATTGAGAGGGGAGATTGGGGAGAGTGAGGGGAGAAAACATTTGGGTCAGGCGACAAGTGAAAGGCTCAGGCTTCTTGCCCTAGAGGTATTGAGAGGGGAGATTGGGGAGAGTGAGGGGAGAAAACATTTGGGTCAGGCGACAAGTGAAAGGCTCAGGCTTCTTGCCCTAGAGGCATTGAGAGGGGAGATTGGGGAGAGTGAGGGGAGAAAACATTTGGGTCAGGCGACAAGTGAAAGGCTCAGGCTTCTTGCCCTAGAGGCATTGAGAGGGAAGCACCAAGGAAGAGTGAGAGAGGAGTAAAAGGAGTGACGGAGAGGAGTGTGCAGAGAGCATGAGGAGGGTGTGACGGAGAGTGTGAGGAGAGTGAGGAGAACACC